TTTGGATAGAAAATATAAGCAGGAAGAGAGTTTCACTTCTTGCCATACTCATGATGAAGGAAGATGCAAACTGCTTTGTGCTTCTAAATGTTATGTCTACGACGTAAGTATGGAGGCTCTCGCCACGTCTTGTCGTCCGATGCTGAAAGAGTGAAGAAAAAATTAAGTCATGTAGCTCTTAAGCACACTTTCCAAAATGTATTCTGTAAAACACAGCGAGTCGTGCAATTTTGCGGCAATGTTTTACATTTTGAAATTTGGAATGTAGCAACAATCGTTCAAATTCAAATTCAAATTCAAAAATCATTTATTCATGTAGGACATTTTAGCCGCTTATGAACGTCAAATTTTTACATTATAATTTTATTTTTTTCCCTACCGTCCAGTTCGGTATATAGATCCAACTGAGAAGAACTGAAGAAACTCAATTGAATTACTTTTTTTTAAAAGCCAGTTTATTTACAATGTATATTTATATAGGTGTCTATGTCTAACATTAAATGAAAATTCAGTGCATGAACAACTATTGCCATGCACACTCGTCATTCAAGTAATCGTTTAGTGAGTAATAGGCTTTGCTCAGTAAATATGATTTAACAGATGTTTTGAATTTATTTAAGGGTAATTTCAATATATCCTTTGGTATCTTATTGTCAATTTTTATACCTATTCCCATAAAAGACCTATTAACTTTTTCTAAACGATACTTGGGGACAGCAAGTTTGTCTTTAAATCTAGTATTAATATTATGAATATTGCTGTTTTTTGGAAATAAGTCAAGATTTTTATGAACATATAGGATATTTGAATATATAAATTGAGAAGCAACGGTGAGAATATTTGCCTCTTTGAATTTCTCTCTTAATGAGTCACGACTCTTCATACAGTAGATCGCTCGAACGGCACGTTTTTGTAATATGAATATATTCTTAATATCTGCCGCTTTTCCCCATAGTAATATTCCATAAGAGAGTAAACTATGAAAATAACTAAAATAGACTAATCTAGCAGTATCAGTATCAGTGTACTGTCTAACTTTACGCACGGCAAAAGCTGCTGAACTTAGTTTCGCTGCAAGGCTTTGAATTTGTGCACCCCATTGTGTTTTATTATCTAGTGTGATTAAAGACAGTAGATTCTATAAATTCGAGAGATATTTAATTTAATATTGCAATTAATTAAAACTTTTAATTAACACATTTTTGTTGTTGTTCCATATGAGTTTCTTAGCTCGGCGTTCAACAGAATCAAGTGAAGCCAATTGGTACTTGGTAAAGCCATTGCAAAAGTGACAGTAATAATAATAATAAAAAATAATAATTAAAATTAAAATCTATATGAACATATTTATATCAATGCATGGTATTTAAGCTCAAAGATTACAGTTATCGAATAAGATATAATATTTACCTACGTGCAATAGCTAATATCTTAAGTGTTGTATATTATAAATTAATATTAATATCGGGTGTCATTGCTCACAGTTGTTTGTTCGAGTTCTCGTAATAATATATAATTAATTGTGATAATGTCGTCCATACGTCCTTTACCTGCAGAATTAGCTGAGAAGGCTCGTCAGGAGTTGAATGAGGATAGTAAGACAGTGAGCAGCGATCTTCAACATATCAAGGAGTGGATAAAGAAGCAGCCTCATTTACGCGCTAGAACAGGTATTTCTATCGTGTTACTGTCTGAGTTTGTTAGTCTATATTTTTTACGTTGATGGATAGATATGATTTTGCAATATTCTTTAATTTAGTAAGATTAGGTACTATGTGAATACTTAGAATCATGACTAACAATATTTATATCTCAAATGTGGACATTAAAATTTTTAAAAGTCAGTTTACAATTTAGTTGAGAACTACCTTCTGCTAAATGAAGAATTATGGTGGTTTTGAAGAAAAATGTTTAATTTATTTATTATTCGTGAAATTGTATATTTTGAGTTTTAGTTTTGTAGTTACATAGATATAATTAGTCCACAGACAAAGTAGACTATAAAAAATTATGTTGTCAGTCATTTTAATAGTGAGATGTTAATAAAAATACTCGTAAAGTTTAAAAAAAGATTGATTTAACACACAACATTGAATAAGATAAATATAACTCTTTTTTTTTAAAGATTGTATTAGTAAATTTCACAAAAATAAAAAAAAAATGTAAAAAATACTTCACTGTGAAAACGAAAAACAATGAATTTATTTTTATATATTATAAGATGATCAATGGCTGTTGGCATTTCTGCGTGGATGCAAGTTTAGTTTGGAGCGGACCAAAGAGAAGTTGGACATGTATTATGCTTTACGTACGACAGCCCCCGATTTATATAAAATTAATCATAAACATCAGTTGTTCAATGAAATTCTTGATCTGGGGTACGTATGCATTAAATTTTTAAAAGAAAAATCTAGTTAATATAATTATTGTGACTATGCTGAAGTAATCAAAGCAATTCTGTTGAAACTATTTGGAGCTGCATTCTAACCATATAATGAATAGTTTGAACTTATTTCAGAATACTTAGATCTAAGCATCTGAGCACGATTAAACATTTTGAAAAGATTATTTCTGAAATTCATTGGATCTAGTATTGAACCAAGAATGTAGAAATATCCTACACAATACGATTTGTTGAGATTTAACTGAGTACTATTTATTTGGAGGAGGAGGGTTGGTTTAACTAGTATATCTTGAATTAGGTAAACAGGTTAACAATATTGAGCATTTTAGGAGAGTTTCTAGAAAATTTTAATTAACGTTTGGTCAATTAATTGATCTAGATACGTAATGTCCAATTAAAGGATTATTATATACGAGAAATAAAATAAACAGCAACATAGTTATATTTACAACCAAATTTCGCAACTTAACTGTCATGTATTTAATTTTTGTAGCTCATTCATATTTTTACCGAAAGGTATTGGATTGACGAAGCCGGCTGTAGCCTTAGTGCGACCTGGAGCTTATGATCCCAATAAATATACAGTTTCTGAAGTTGTCTCTGTTTCCAATGTAATTGAAAAGGTATTATATATATATTTTTTATAATAATAACAATAGTAAGTGTCACACAATCACTATTACCTGATTCATCCTCTAATATGACGAATCAGGCAACGAACATTTAAAAGTACAATCTGGAAAACTCAAGCCCGAGCCCATTTAGTGAAATTCGTTTTCTAAATTGGCCTGATTTGGAATCAAACGCGGGACCTTAATTATGTAAAACGACATATTTACTACTGAGTACCATACGTTATTCGTTTGTACTTTGCAGCTCTGTGTAACCTACATATATAGAAGCACATAAATGTAATCAAGTTCATGTAAATGTAATCAAGAGGGGTTTTGGCAATAGTTGCTATTTTTGACAGGCGGGTTGGCAACCGTATTTAGGCTTTTGGTGATGTTTTAAGAGATACGCTGATGCCCGTCTCCTCGACCATTAATTTCTCTTAGTCGCCTTTTACGACACTCACGGGAAAGAAAGGGTGGTTCATTCTATGCCGGGACCATACAGTAATGATCAGATAGCTTTTATTTATTAGAAAATTTAACAATATTATCATTCCAAAATCAGAATGAAAAAAAAAAAAAATTAAAAAAATTTCAAATCGAACAGGTCTAAATTACCATAATGAGTATATACTTACGATGTGAATCGTATCTATAGTTTCAATGTCTTTTCAATTTTGTTATCCTTCATTTCTGTTCATTGGAGCAAATAGCTAATCTTTTCATTTTTTTCTTAGATTATTCTCATGGAAAATGATAATGCTATTATATCCGGAGTTCAAAATATCTTGGACTTAGAAAATGTCACTATGGGACATTTTTTGCAAATGACACCGGTTCAGATGAAAAAAATGGTCGTTCATATGCAGGTATGAAGTTATGCCTTGTTTGTATATTATTTTAATTGTGAAATTATTATTTTTCGTTCCTCTTATTCACTTGGCTGGAATATATTGATTAACTAGGATAAGAGGCAGCCTACGTACTTTTTCATCCTAAATACTACAGCCATATTTGCGGATTAAGACGATCGATTGAACTATTAAGGCATCTAGAGGTAACAAACAAATTTACTATCACATTTATTACATCAGTAAGGTTCATCAAATAAAATCAAGACATTTCTCAGGGTTCTAAAAAGTGGTTAATATTATACTAAATTCAAAGAAGCGTATTTCAAATAGAGCAAATTTTTTATTTGACTCAGTAAATTCAATAAACCCTATAGTTTCCCAATTTCCGACATGAGTGTCATTATTTGCTGGAGTAATAGGTAATTTATTTGTTACATAATAATGCTTATTTCTTTTCTGAGGGAACTGAGGAAGTTACTTCAAATGACCGCTAAGGATGAAAGTAAGAAATACGAATTATCTTAGACGCCCAACCAAAGATTTTGTAACTATTAGAATACAATATTAGATTAAACATAAGATTTGTTTTTAATATGATATATATTTATTCATTGAAAATATTTATTTACAGGAAGCGACGCCTTTTCGGGTAAAAGGAACTCATTATTTAAATACTCCAAAAGGTTTTGAGGTCATCTTTAATGCTATGAAGAATTTGCTTAATGAGAAAAATAAAAGCAGAGTAAGCATCGTTTCTTATATTTTATGCAATTAATTATTAGATATTAAAATATAACAAAAATCACTAAAGTTTCGTTGTTATTTCCATTTATTTTACTATTTTTTAAATACTGCTATTATTATTTTGAATGAATAAATGAAAACTCTTAATTATTCCTTTCAAAGAATGATACAGATTATACAGATTAGTAATATGTAGACGAACAAAATGAGCATTTCATTAATTAATTAATTATTAATTTTACATTATGTTTTTATTGGATTGATTTATATACAGGAATGATGCATGGAGTAAGCTGCAGCCTAGTAGTAGTATACATGAAACTGAACAACTTGCCCCTTAAAGAAATGCAGTTGAAATCACAGAATTTATGAAAAGTTTAAAAATAATTTTGAAATTATGTACATAGTTGTATAAATCGTTGTCCGATTTTGTTTGTTTGTTCATATCTGTGTTCTTTAATTACATACCGAAGTTAAGACACGTGTTTTAAATTTTTTTGTTTCACTACATTTGACTGTTGTGTTTTTGCGTATTATAATATATTATATATATTATTATATTATTTTTATATTAATATTATTATAATATTGCGTACGATAATATATTATCCTAACATATAAAATGATTTTTGTTATAGCTCTATGTTCATAATAAGAATTATGAAGAAATGTACAAACATATTCCTAAGGATATTTTGCCTGCTGAGTATGGTGGAAATGGTGGAACAATTAAAGAAATCGTTGGTATGTTAATTATAATAATTAACAACTGGAATAATTAATTACATGACGACCTTCTTATGGTTGTAGATTTTGATTCCTGCAATTACAAATTAAATAAGTACTCATATAATTATGATAACATAGGTCAAGTAACAATTATATGTTCTATTAATTACAACATCCATATTTTGCCAAATACAATTGACTTATCTACAAATAATTTTAACGTCAAAGATATTTATTTTGATAAACAATAATTTGATTAAAATATATAAATAACTATATCAGTGATTGAGCATATTGTTGTGAATGTAAGGAATATCTTAGGTAAGTTATATATAATACAGTAACTATTATATAATCATCTATGATAATACGCCCAATATCACAAGACCGTTCTTTAAATTGGGGGTTCCTAAACTTTTAATTTAACGGAACGCCTACCAAATACCTATTATATTATAGAATCCTATATCAAACGATTATAAATCAAAAACATTGTAATTTTGAAGAATAAAACAAAACTTTTTATTAGAAATATTTAAAAAGTATAACACGTTATAGTTTCCTTAAATTTTTAATGTGTAGAATGAAATTGTTTCACTGTATAAATAATTTCGCGGAACCCTGGTGAATTTTTTATGGAATCTTAGGTTCGGCGGAATTCATTTCAAAAATCGTCTTAGATTATCGCGAAATCGATATTGACCATTGTTAAATATTTGTGCCTCAGTTTTAATCTGCAATGCCGTGTGGTCCGACGTAAAATGGGTGACTCTTTCTTTTCTCATGGGTGTCGAAAGAGGCTACTAAAGAACCTTATTGGAAGACAGATGGACAGCAGCGTCCTTCTTAAAACATTATTAAAATCTAACAAAACATTCTTTAAGGGCGAGGCGTATGTTCAGCAGTAGACAGTTAATGGATTATGTAATAATTTATTCTGCAATGTTAATACATCTTTCACACACACAATGCGACACTAAAAAAATGTTTTAGAAGGAGAGCTAGTATAGAATTAGAAAACATCTAGTCATCAAGAGAAGCAATGCTTGAGTATGCAGGATTGTATGTGTTAAAAAAATTTTGGCAAAGCCTTACATAATGACTCTGGCTAAACCATAAACCATCTAGAACCAAAACCACCATCGTCAGTCAAGATATCTCTTATCTTGTTTTTAAATGACATTAGATATTTTTCTTTTCTGACTGCAATGTAATGATTTACTTTTTAGTGATATCCAGTCGATTGACAACAAAGTCATCTGTACTGTTAATACTATACGTGTGGAAGTTTAAATATTAGTATATTTGAATCTTTGTTACTTAATTACACTTAAACAGTTGGATTTGAATGAATACGAGTAGTAGATAGATAGATAGATAATTTATTTGCATTACTTACTTACAACACATAAATTACAACATACATATACAAAAAAAAGCGAGATAACATAAATGATTAAAAAAAAATTAAAAAAAAACTAGTACTCGTATATGGATAAAAAAAAGGTGAATAAAAGCTTATGTTCAGCAGTGGACAGTCAACGGCTGAAATAATAAAACAATATGGATAGACTATGGTCTATCTGAACTATATAATTTAAAGTATTTGTTAGTTTAGGGTATGCCCTAAACTAATATATAAAGTAATTTATATGATAGAATGGCGATTTTTTATTCACAGAATATTGGAAGCAGAAAGTGAGAGAATACAGCGCGTTTTTGGATGAAGATTTACAATATGGTACGGATGAGTCTAAACGACCCGGGAAACCCAAGACCGCAGAAGACATGTTTGGTGTAGAAGGTTCTTTTAGGCAACTAGAATTCGATTAATTGTTGACCAATACTGAGGTGGTTCTCTGATTGTGAACATGCAAAACTTTGGTTGACTGAAAGTAATTATAATTAATTGTTTACTAAGAAATTTGTGGGCTTGTTGTATTTTATGCTTATTAAACTGTACAATTAAAGATTTTACAACAATAAATAATGGATTACTGCATTTCTTCTTATTCTACCTTATATGTTATATTAAATAGCTTAATGTATAATTACTAAATTAATTATACTTATGATTTGACCAGTTCTTTATTAATGGTTGATAATGGAATGGTAACCCGGCCCGCGCCAACGGTTCATGTTGGCGAAGTACCAATGAAAAGGCAAATTAGTTAGCTTATTGTGATGAATTCACTTGCAATTGAGCACAATGGTTTCTAGCGGAAGCCGCGAAGATGTCAACCTGATAGAGTATATTGATAGTTATGGGGATACATAATCCCCATGAATAACAATACCTCTCTTACCTCCCGATTTTACCTTATACGTTTTAAGCAAAGATATAGTTATATTCTTGGTAAAACCATATTTGAAGCGAAAATTAAAAAAAATGGACTTAAATAAAATTATAACGATTTAGAAAGGCCACTATTTGAAAATATTTTAAGTTAAATAGTATAAGATTTTTATTTTGTAATAGGATAATTCAACATCGTTTCAGATGTGGCGTAGACACATAACATACATAATACAAAAAATATCGAAAATTGAGAATCTCTTTTTAAGTCGTTTAAAAAACGTTATTATAGTACCACGGCTTAAATCTATCAGGTTTGATGTTTCGCATTTAACAATGATATTTATCAGAGTTAAATTTATAATCTAGCATATTAAACCCTCATATCATATTTACTATCTTTTCAGTAACATTATAAAATATACATTATGCTAGTGCAAACCTTCAATCGATAAATTGTTGTCGATATTTTTGTACGTTGTATATTTACGGGAATAAACTATATACGATTAATTAGAGATAATTTTTTAATTTATATTTTTTATACTTTTAAGGATGTGCTTGTGTGTCGAAACGTGGTTTGAATTCAATATTCAATATCCTGGTAAACCAGTAAGGTTAAATTTTTATAATTCTAAAGTTGGTGTTCAGATTCGCAAAGTTAGGAGAGCAGCTCCTAATTGTGCAAATGTGAATGATTTGGCAGGATGAACAAAGATTAACATTGTAATGAGACATTTTTGAGTTTAATTTTAAACAATATTCATATTTAGTAATCATTAATAAATATAAAGAACTCTCCCATATTAGAAAAACATACTATACTAGATTTTTATCGACTTTTTTTTTGCCAATAATAAATTAAATTTAAATACTGCGACAAAATCATCGATACAATGTATAAAACTAATAGGTACCAATAGTGTTTGACTTTCCTCGCCTTACCAATGATTACAATAAGAATGATTACGGCACTGTTGATCGAATATCAATTATTATATTCGTAATAGATAAGCCAGTATATCATTACAAGTGTTGTGGCAATTGATATAAGTACCAAGTACTATTTTAAAGAAGACATACATTGACAAAAATATTTAAAATTAAAAAAAATGTCTGTCCGTCCTTTGTCAGCTGAGCTTGCTGAAAAGGCCCGCGTGGAACTGAATGAGGATCCGAAGAGATTAACAGAAGATCTACAGCATATAAAAAATTGGTTAGCGAAACAACCCCACATACGGGCTAGAACTGGTAACATTTATTTTTTATTTATATTTATTCAATATAGTGTTATTTTGGAGGAGTTTTTTTTCCACAAACGGTTGAATTCTAAATTTAGTTCCTTGCCGTTTTTTCTGTGGCGATTATAGTATGGAATTCTTCAAAAATATTACTATGTTAATATTATATGTTTCTACCTATATAAATATATATATTTAACCCTAGTTAGCAACATGCCTTAATGCTTTTAGTGTTATAACTACTCATAGGCTGCGTGTATTATCGGATGGGCTGTATATTTTTTGTTTGTCACTTTTGTGGTATAAAAAAATATTTATTTAGCTTTATATTCTTACTATGGTCTACATTTGACCAAGGAAGTAATGATAACAACTGTATTATGTAGCATTTTTTTTTAATTCAAAGTCTTTATTAATGAGCTTTATGCTAAAATTTCATTTTGCGTTTTGGAGGGAGTAATATCCATTTACAAAATTTTCATTCCTTTGCCATCATTCAGTAACAAAAATTTTTGCTTTAATAAATACCTTTGTATGTTTACAGATGATCAATGGCTTACAGTGTTCTTGCGTGGTTGCAAATTTAGTTTAGAACGTGTAAAAGAGAAATTGGATCTTTACTATACTATACATACTGCAGCTCCGGAACTCTTCCGAGTGAAGCATACTGATCCGCTGTTTGAGGAAATTTTTAATTTGAAGTAACTATTTTACTTTTGTTTCTTTAAAGTTCCTTATTTAGGGATTCAAATATATATCATTGTCATCATTTCAGCCATTATCCGTCTACTGCTAGACATAAGCCTCCCCCATAGATTGCCATAAGGAACGGTCTTGTACTACCTGCATCCACTGACTCCCTGCAATGCATTTAAAGTCGTCACTCCATCTAGTGTGGGATCGTTCTACACTGTGCTTGCCTGTACGGGGTCGCCAATGTCGGGTTGTCGGTTCTTCAAACTATGCGACCAGTTCATTGCTACTTAAGTTTGTTTATCTTTCGGGCTACATCGGTTACCTTGGTTCTTATGTGGATATTCTCGTTTCGGATTCTATCACGCAAAGAATCTCCGAGCATAGCTTTGGTTCCATAAGTCATCAAATGTATAATAAATACCAATTAATTTCAATAAGTATTGTCATATTATCTTTTTTTTCATAACATAATATATTGTATTATATTATTAGAAGTTATTTCGCGTGGTTTTGCATAAATAAAAATTGAAAAGCCAAAAGAAGTTTTTGTATAAAATACGTCACGTAATAATATAAAATACGTATGAGTACTTCTGTCCTAGTTGTTTCAAGTTGAAGGTTGGGATATGGCAGTTAAATTATAAGGTACGAAATCATAACATCAGGAAAAGCATAAGGAAAATCGTTGGCATCACAATATATCTACCTATATAATATCCATACCACTTCACATGAGGTGTGCCGTCAACTTCTTTGGCTTTCTAAATATCATAAATTAATCTGTGTGTGTAATCTAAAAGATAATCCATGTACATGTCATATTACTTTCAAATTCGTTCAGCTGCATAAGCACAATTGAAACACTGCACGGGCAGTTTAAAAATTACTTAGGCACTTTATATTACGTAATACAATTTATAAAATTTTTTTTTTCATTGGCATACAATAGACTGTTAATAGTGCTACCCAAACTTCCGGCACCGGATTCTCCGTTAATATCCATCTTCAGACCTGGAATGTACGACCCACAAAAATATAACATTACCGATATAATGTCTGTGACAAATACTATGCAAAAGGTACGTATCTTTTTTTATGCAACTTAGAATGGCAAACAAGTTGATAGCTTACCTGGTGGAAAGTGGTAACAGTCTCTTATAGACATGAGCAGTACCATGGACATAACAGAGTATACTATTTTGCTCATGATTCCCCCTATGCGTTGCCATTTCTGAGGACTCGGGTGTTATTCCTCCGTACCCTGTTTACGCCATGTCCGACACTTCAAACCGAAACACAGCCATACAAACACAACTGCTTTATGGTTGAAACTCGAATGGGACAGAAGTACCCAAGCAATCGACTTTTGTATAAAGTCTCCCTCTGATGGTGGCTTCACGGTAGAAACACGAATGGGATAGAGCCCTAGTAAACGACTTTTGTACAAAGTCTCCCTTTGGTATTTACTATAAGAGAAAAGATAAGTGTGTTTAGTTATAAAATTCGATTAACTTTTATATGTTCTAGTTTATATATATTTAGAATTTTATATTGATGTTCAATTATTTTTATTAATAATTATACAGATATGAACCACGCACAGGATCGATTATGGGTTTTCGGGGAACAATTGGTGTTGGGATTTAAGGGTCTTGACTGAACGAATCGGTATAAGGAAAAACAGAGTCACCTAGTATATTTTTTGGGAGGACTATATTCAATTGTAAATAATGAATATTAAAAATGATGATGATAATTTAAATAATAATAAATTTAATTGTTGTTCAATAATTTATTCTTAATTTAGTATTATTTTTCAAAGATATTTGTATATAACGTAATTTGTAATTCAAAATTGTCATTTTTTTACTTTTTATAAGGACGATTACAACACAGTTCTTTAATATAATTTAAGATCATTTGGATATAGAAGGAAACTATGGCGCGTAAACTGATCGAACGAATAGCAAAGGAACTCTGTAACACTCCAATTTTTAAACGAAAAGGATAATTATTATATCTTTTTTTTTCAGATAATGTTGGTTGATAATGATAATGCGTCTGTAGCTGGTTTCCGTTTCATAATGGATTTGGAGGGAGCTTCAATGGCGCATTTCTTACAAATGTCTCCGACACTGATGAAAAAAGGAGCGGTGTATTCTCAAGTAATTAGACAAGTTCTACACACAAACACACATACACACACGCACACGCACACGCACACGCAAACGCAAACGCACACGCACATATATATATATATATATATATATATACTCGTATATATACCAATATATAATAATCAATAAGGACATTGGTTAAATAATAAATAATATCTATGTATATATTAATATTGGGTAAAATCTGTATCAAATTTCTTGTTTCGGTTCATAATAAAAACACAATAAAACTATTATTTCAGGATGCATCACCAGTTCGCATGAAAGGTTTCCATTATTTAAACACTCCGCCAGGATTTGAAACTTTTTTCAATTTTATTAAAGGTTTACTCAATGAGAAAAACAGGAGTCGGGTAAGTACTTTTGCACTTGAAATATTTATTATCATAGTTAAGAATAGTACCTATAGATATGTCTGTGTTTTTTTTTAATTATGTAATTTATTACATTAATTTAATTTTAAAAACCAAGCTACTGGACAGAAGTTGATGAAATTTCTATGTACCCTAACTGAAAGTATATTTGTTTAAATAAATTAAGAATTGTTTAAATCGGTTCATAACCGAATTGAGAACCTCCCCATTTTTTAAGGTTGGTTAAAATAGGCATAAAATTTTAATAATAGGACAACCAACTTTCCTATTTGATTCTTAATTATATATTTTCTGATTTATTTCAACAGCTTTATGTTCACAACAAGAACTATGAAGAATTATACAAGTACATACCCAAAGACATTCTACCAATCGAATATGGCGGAACTGGTGGAACAATTGATGAAATTATGGGTACGTATAAAAAAAAAAAAACGAATAAAAAAAAGGCAAGAAAAAGAAAAATATATTATCTTTTTTTTCCATCTGTTTATTCAAAAGAAAGAATAAATTATTCTTGAATGTACAAAAATTACATAACTTTGATAGGCGTGTTTGCATATAAAAATAAATGACATGATGTTTTATTAATCCTATTAATACCTAGGTCTTGATAAGAACTAGATTGGAAATTTGTTTACACGCTTGGATATGTAGCGCTGTCTTATCTTCTTACGTAAAAAAGCGATATGTATGTTATGTTTTAGTCTTAAAACTCTTTCTGATATATAAGTTGCTTATATTATAATTAATTACTTATTGATCGATTACGATGAAAATGATTTCATCACGACTTTAGTTCTAATTTTAAGGCGACATTATTTATCAGATAAATGAAAAAATATTAATATAGGCCTGGATGGCAAATAGTGAATACACATATATGATATTAATACACCACATTATATATGTATATACTTTATATTTATTTTATTCAATTACAGATAGCTGGAGAAGAAAAATCCAGGAATACAACTCCTGGTTAGAAGAAGATAGAAAATATGGCGTAGATGAGTCCAAGAGGCCGGGAAAACCTAAGACTGCTGAAGACTTATTTGGTGTTGAAGGCTCGTTCAGACAACTTGAATTTGATTGAATTTTTTTGCGTATGGGGTTTATATAGCTTTTTTCTGACTACAATTTTTTTCTTTATACTTTATTGTGCACAAATAGAATGATAGAACATTTAATTTTAAATGTAATGTACAACGGCGAGCTGTGGAATACATTTTTGTTATTATTTTAAGTAAATAAAGAAGTAATTAAAAACAAAAAGGAATATGATATTACTACAAAAAATATTTATTTAATATCCCAGTCAATCAATCCCTAAGTAGCATTAGATCTATGTATTATTGTTATTTGTTTATTAATATTCAAAATGGTAAATTTATCTTAATTTCTCATGATTTTAAAATAATTGCGGTATCAGCTAAAAGTTAATAATTAATGGAACTATTAAAAAAGAAAATTAAATCAATGAATGAATAAATATCATATTTAAGAATACTGCGCTGGAAAATGGAAACAAGTATTTATTATTAAAACAGTCATAATTCAAATCATTATATTTATATGCCTAATGGTGAAAAAATACGAATATAGCATTCTCTTAGATTACATAAATAGAGTATCTCCATATAAATGCTACGAGTAAAGTGGGTTAACTTTTTCATACAATTTTGTGTGATAAATTGAATTTGAAATTGAATAATGTGAGTGTTTCTTTTATAATTCTATATTTATTTGTTTTATAATTTTAGCATCTTTTTAATGCGTAAAACTTATGTTATTTATTAAATAATTAAATATAGATTCGTTAAAATATATTATATAGAACACTGATAAAAAAAAGAGTCAACTAATTTGACAATTAGCTGATAAGAGCTAGCCTGTTTTTGAGATACGATGTTCTATGTAATGTAATGTAATGTAATGTAATGTAAATTGGACTCTATTTTCCGCGCTTAGCCTCTCATTTGGGCCGTTGTGCGTATGAGTCGTGGCTAGTTCAGTCAACTTAGCTCCGCCCAGAAGCACAGAAGCTCCCTGGGATCTTCACAGGCCTCACGGAGCGACCTCACTGTTCCGAGGATTTCTAAACGTTGATGAGCCACAGCTTCACATTCCAGGATTACGTGAGCAGCCGTTTCTTCGGCGTCGAAACAGCCTCGACTCTATATCGAGCCCTCTAGGGCTGTCTGTGGCTCCTATTGTGTATGTTTGTTTAATGGACAATGGCCCGTTATTGTCCCTATCATGATGTTCTATGTATATACATATCTAAGAGCGTTCTATATAATATTGAACAATAACAAATTTATATCTAACTACTTTTTACCGGCGACTTTGAATGAATGGAATTTGGATATTTTACACCCTAGGGATTGAAATTTCTAAATCCTTTCTTATTGTTTACTTACGCGATATAAAGACGCTATCTAAAAAGATTTAAGATTATTATCTTAAATTACACGAAATATTTAAATGAATTATTTTTGTATAACAAAATTTTATGTAAGGAGGCCTATGGAAATGAATATTTCTTTAAAGGAAAGTGGACATATTCTAGGTTGATGTTATTTATTATATTTTTTTTAAACTACATACATATATTGCATATAAGCACATTGGTAAGTATATATAATAAACTCTGAATAATTATAGAAATTATTATTATTATAAATATATATTTTTATTCTTCGATAATGTGAAAAATAAATATATTATAGTTATATTTCACCTTCCAATATGATTCGAAATAACAGGCATGTATGTATTTCAGATGAAGTTGTCAAATGATTAATACAAACAACTTATATATTCAACTACATTGAATACAATGTATTTTGTTGCTTTTAGAGGATGGTAGGGGAAATATGGGAAAAATTATAACGCAACAAACTTAGGTCTTATATTATTGTTTCTTAAGAAGATATTATTATTTAAAAATATAGATTTTTTTTATAAAAAGAAACCATTTAATTAAAAAATGAAACTATTAATATTCGGATTAACTCGAATAACATTTGGGAAATACAAATGAACAAGCATAATTAAAGCATATTGGTAATTAGTCAATGTTGACTTATTATTGCCTATGAGTTCAACTTTTACATATGACGTTTACACATAATCTACTCGTAGTCCTTAAAACGGAATATTACGTCATAGACCCATGTTCCTGTAAATTATGTTTTATTTCAGTATTTGTTTTTAAGGCAAAAGTAAAAAATACAATTTAATAAAAAGAAATAAATAAGGTATGCAATGTGGTGTCTGGAAGAGTCTACTGAGCATCTCTTATTGCTAAGGTACGGCCACAGGTAATATAATATCATATAGCATGGCTAATGGGGCGACGTTATGAAGGCCCTTTATGAACAATAATGCTCTAGGTCGTGCGGGAACTGAAACGTCCGACGGCGTCTATAACACCGCGCAGGTCCAACTTGACAGAAAGTGTCAAGAGCCAACCAAGGATCGTTCGCTCTGAAGGGTCCTTTATGGGCGACAGTACAGTGGGCCATGCGAGTAATAAAACAATCTGGAAGGGTTTCGTGACTCAATATGGCGGCATATTATATTAGAAATTGTAAAGTGGCGCGTATAAAAAAAGATTAAGGATTATATAATATATACACAATTTTGTAAAATGCGCGTAGTATTACGAGATTGGTAAATTTTGAAACATGTTTATAAGATATTTACGTAAAGAGTAATGGAATTCAAAACAATATGTATATAAAAAAATGGCTATAAAAGTTACTAATACTCAATAGTCGGCAATAGTATTTCTTTGTTCTTTAAAACTACTAAATTTCTATTTTTTTTTATAGTTAATTTAATTTTTTCTCTTCCTTCTTTATAAGAAGTTCTTGTTAAAATGGTCCATTAGAAATTCTTCACTTCGGGATGAACATTATTTTTAACAGACTTCGAAAAGAAGGAGATATTCTCAATTCAATTGAATTTTTTTATGTTTATTACCTCATAACTCCGTCAGTTGTAAACCGATTTAATTTTTTTTTTATTTAAAAGGATATATTTACAGATCAGAATAGCTTTAGTATTTAAATTTAGAAACTGTAATAACTGGTTTCGTCACAATTGAAGTCGATCTTATTGTGGGACATATTATTATAAATTTATTATAAACTTGTAGTTAGTAAGTTACTACATGAATAGAAGAATTTTCTATATAATTTTTTTTTCTAATGAAAATGTTACGTCGAAAACTGTAAATTTTTTTTTAATATTTGTATTTTATTTAGTATCTAAATGTTCGTAACTTGTCAAGATCATAGCGTGGCATTGTTTCTAATATGACGGTGAATGAAAAACTTGAATTTCTTTCTGACATTGTAAAACTACTCGTATCATGCTTGTAATCCTGCGCCGTTTGTGTTTGCCCCACTTTACCCTATATTCAAATATATTTTTTGCACGGTTATTTGTATGGTAATAACATTTTGATTTTGACTTATGGCCTATAGGTAGATATTATTATATAAACTTATTAAATATATGATGTTATCATAAGAGGCTAATAAACGGCAATATCATCATTACAATTTTTACAGCGACTTATTGGTCGATTAATCAAACGATAACATTAACTGATTAAAAATAGACTTGCATGGGCGTTAGGTGAGGTTTAACGTATTCTACACAATATTTTGTGATTATTTAAAATGTCTATCCGTCCTTTATCACCTGAATTGGCTGAGAAGGCTCGTGTGGAATTGAACGAGGATCCTAGAAGGTTGAAAGAAGACTTGCAGCATTTGAAAGATTGGATAGCAAAGCAACCGCATTTAAGAGTAAGGACAGGTAAACATTTCATTTTTTTAATATAAATAAATAAAAATTTATTTTCGTCTTTTAGGAGTTTAATATTAATTTTATTAATAAAGTGTTTTTTATATGGAAACAAAAAAAAATTATTAGCTTCCATATTGACTTGATAGGTAGACGTGTTAGCATGGAAGAGTCAATATATTTTTTATCGACTATACATAAGAAAAATGTTCAGTTTCGTTGGTCCGCTCTCAAAAAATACTTAATGATTTCAATTTCAATTGGTTTACATATACACCTGCGTATATTATAATAAATAATCTTGCATCAAGTTTGACGCACTAGTTTTTATGTGATATCGGAGCAAAAACATACATAAAAAAAATAAAATAAAAAATTTCGCTGTTGCTTTTTTATCTTTTATTATGCTATATTTTTTTTCTTAAATACTTCTTAAGTACAGAAATTGTTTAGTTGCAAATCTATTATATATATGTTATAGATTTTTTGGTTGGATATTTAGTTCGTGCCACCAAGATATATTAATTTTTTTTATATAGGTGATATGATAATTGAATGGATAATCTGCCTGTGACATTTGTATATACAGGCGAGACAACAGTAGTGGATGATAGATGAGGACTAAAACAGGTCAGTTAACTCATCGTGATGAAATCTACAAGAATTAATTAAGATCATTTTTTATAGAAATCACGTGGAGAAAATTTGATAGGGCATATTGTTAGCAATGAAGCTGTTAGATTCTCTTTACTACCAATTCCTTCTCCTCAGGCATACTTATTGATTGACCGGGATGAAAGTACCCTATGTATGTCTCTATATTATGTGTAAATTTAATTTAATTATTGTTAAGGCGTGAGAGGTAATAAAAAACTTATTTTTATTTTTTACGTTTAGTTAGTTACGTTTTTTGGGTTGTGGTTTTTTAGTAGGTGGATAATGTCTATATGTTAGGAGGAAATGAAAATAAAAATATAGATCTTAAAGACATTCTATTATGACTTATTGACCTTTATTCCATACTTAGTCTATTCATAATTATTTGTTACCAATAACTCTGGGATACTCTCCACAAAATATGCTATGGAATCCTAAGTGAATAAATGTCGAACATACACTGTGCTTACTTTTAATGTTACTGAAGAATATCTCGTTCCGTGTTGTCACTTTATCTGATTAGAATTTAAAAAAAATATATAGTTTCTAATTTATCTGAGTAGATAACGAAGGAAGATAATACTAAACATGACAATTGTTGTCAATAATATTATAAAGGCATTTTTAGAAAACTAGATAAAAAAATGTACATTATTGTAAATGCTACCTGATGGAATTTCCTAGAGATAGATTAAGGCTATTTATTTCCTTAAAATATCTTTAGAAAACTAATCATAATAATAGAAACGTATTATTTTTTAAACTTATGTTCTTTTTTAACGCTGTTTAAGATTATTATTATTTTTTTTACTTTATGATTATGGAATAATTATATTATCGGAAATGACAGACATAGTTCATAAAATTCCTATTATACATATATACAGATAATATATGTTATAAAACGCATTTTTTGTCATAATATATAAAAATTGGAGAATTTTAATTAGACCGTAGAAAATTGTGATGCTTGTGTTAAAAAAGTCATGAGTTAAATGAATTTTCAAAATAGTTGGCTAATAAGTCACAAAATTTTATTTTGTAGACAAGTAGATAAAAAATATATCAGCAACGAATCTCTATCTATAATAATAATTACCTGAACTACATCAATCAACAAATAATAATATATAATCAGTTACGCTACCACTTAATATCAAGTGTATCCACGGAATAGATATAAAATATCTACTATACGAATGGACCGTACAGCATAATTATTAAAGCCATGATGCAATTATTACATTATATTTATAAACTATGATATATATTTATAAAATATGATAGGATGCATGTCTCAGGCTATTTATCAGATATTATTGTATAATCCAATATTTTTAAATTGTGTTATTTACTGACCTAATGTGAATTTTTATAGATGACCAATGGCTAACGGTGTTTCTTCGAGGATGCAAGTACAGTTTGGAAAGGACGAAGCAAAAACTGGATCTCTTCTATACCTTCCGGAACATAGCCCCCGAGTTTTTCCGGATTAAACACACCGATCCATATTTTTATGAAATTTTTAATTTGGGGTAATGACAACAGTTTTATATTTTTAAATATTATTGCTATTTTTACACTTTTATTTCATGCGGTGACCAGGTAAGAATATAATATGTCATCACTGTTTATTATTCACAGAATATATAATTCTTTAGCGAATTTAAAAATTCTTTGACCTATTAAAAGCTACATTATCAGCAAGTAACGTGGGCTTAATAAAAAATAGAGGCTCCTGCAACAATTGTAATAATCAACTCTAACGAATTTTAAACTACACACACAAGATTTTTGTCTATCTGCAGAACTTAATTTAATTTTTTTTAGAATATCAAACAAATTGACGGCTCACACTGTTACGTGGAAAAACTAAAAACCAAATCTTTTTGTAATAAGGATAAAATCATATTACGCCGACCCCAAATGATTGGGATAAGCGTAGGAAGATGATGATGGTATCTGTCGCCTATAGATATAAACAGGACAATGGACAGAACAGAGTATACTGTTTTGTCCATGATATCCCCCATGTGTTGCCATTTCTAAAGACTAAGGTGATATGCCTCTATATCCTGTAAATTTACTGTTATATCTATTCTCTTCAAACTGACATACAGCCATGCAAACTGCTTCACGGTAGAAACACGAATGGAACAGATGTACAGAAGCAAACGACTTTTATACATACAAAGTCTCCCTCTGGTATTATAATATTTCATTGTATTAACAGGATTATGATCGTATTGCCAAAGCCTATTGGACCTACTTCACCGATAGTGGGTATCTTCAGACCTGGACCATGCGATCCCAAAAAGTACGATATTATGGATGTTATGGCTGCCACTCACGTCCTCCAAAAGGTAAGTAATTATTTTTTTTTTAATTATAAATAGGTATATTTACGACTTTAATTACTAAAGTGTAGCCAGAGGTATTTGTATTGACAGTGAAGCAGGGTAAGCTGAGCGGTGGCTTGTCACTGCGATAAATTTATATTTTTATTAGTGTTTACCGTTACTAGAGACATTTTTCTACGACTTACAATGAACACAAACCAATTGTTAATCTGATAGAAGTAATAATTTTGCCTATAGGCATAAATAGCACTGTGGACAGCACAGTATATAATGAGATGCTTCATGCATTTATGAGAACTACTATTTACTTATTTATTCATTAGTATGTATGTGTATAAAGCCAGTCCAGTCCAGTTTTTATTTCGATAACAAAAAGAAGTAGGTGGTAAGACAACGTTTGCCGGGTCAATTAGTAGTATTATAAAAAAATGAATCGTAAATTCAAAATTGCAAATTCAAATCATTACAAATATTTATTTGTGATGACTATTGTTGACTGTATTTAAACTATAATTTGATTTTTTTTATACAACTCAGAATAGCAAACAAGCTGACGGCCTATCTGATAGAAAGTGGTAACCGTCGCCTATAGAGATGAGCAGTACCATGGACATAACAGAGTATACTGTTTCGCCCATGATACCCTATGATATTCCTCTGTACCCTATAAATTTACGCCATATCCTATCCTTCAAACCGAAACACAGCCATGCAAACACAACTGCTTTACGGTTGAAACATGAATGGGACAGAGGTACCCAAACAATCGACTTTTGTACAAAGTCTCCTCTGGTATACTGGAATGCGGTATTAGTAATAATTGACTTACGTACGTGTTAAAATTTATATATATATAGATAAACAAAGAAATATAAACTTTTTTTTATGTGGGTTCAGATGGAAATCTCTTATTGGTATCAGAAAGCTGCAACCATCTATTATACCTACGTTACTTTACTGCTATATAATGTATATTCTTTTAAATCGAATCACACCAGATATAAGAGAGGTATATTGGAACTTAAGTAAACGAGTTTTACATACAAAGTCTCTTATTCTCAAATAAGTTTACTTCTATTTTTTTATAAGTATTAACAAAAAAATTATTTTATGATTACAGGTAGTGTTAGTGGACAATGACCACGCAAGTGTGGCTGGTTTTCAGTCAATAATGGATTTAGAAGGTACTACAATGGCACACTTCACGCAAATGACTCCCTTCCAAATGAAGAAAATGATGGTATTTTCCCAGGTAATTATTTATTCGATTATGTATTATTTAATAATGTATCATTAAGAGGAGGAGTGGTATGAGCACAAATATTTAAAATCATATAAAAACGGTATCGAAGATTAGTGTGTACGTACATCATGACACTGGATTTTTATATTATCATCATTATATCAATCGCTAATTGTTTACTGCTGTATATAGACCTCCCCATAGACTGTTTGAAAGAAGACCCCATAGAAAGAAACGGTCCTGAGACAGGTGCATTTACTGACTCCTTGCAATGCATTTGAGGTCGTTGCTCCATCCAGTGGGATTTTTATATATTACAATAAAATTACAATGTTCACAGGACGCAGCACCAATACGCATGAAAGGGTTTCATTATTTAAATACGCCTCCAGGATTTGAAACTGTATTCAACTTAGTGAAGGGTTTCATGAACGAGAAAAACAGAAGTCGAGTAAGTATACTCGTGTTTAGCAAAAATGACAACTAGTTAATATTTTATAATAAACAATGGATAAGTTTTAAGTAAAAATTAAAGAGATAAGAAACAGCTATAAACAGTATTATATGTACCAAGACTACAATTTAGAAACAAGTTTTATAAATATTTATAATAAATATTTTCATAATATTATTTAAACAAATTAAACATTACGCCTTGACTCACATAATTTGAAAAAAATAAATTAAAACGTAATTATTTATTTGTTTTTCTGTTGGATTAACTATATTGTATTATACAAAAATAAGGAACTCTGTTGTAAAAACACTAATCTGGGGACACCATTTTTAAACAGACGTGAACGCCCAACGTGAACTTTTTAACTATACCTAAGTTAATTTTAATATAATATTTTTTTTTTTATATTTAGCTTCATGTTCATAATAAGAACTACGATGAATTATACAAGCACATCCCTAAAGAAGTTCTGCCTGCTGAGTACGGTGGGAATGGCGGTACTATTGAAGAAATCTTAAGTAAGTAAAAATTTTTATTACTAATTAATTTATTTTATTTCGTGATCTAAAGGTTAATTCTAAAGGACATCGCATAACACACGTACAAGAAATATAGATGAATTCAAAATTGTTTTTCGTGTTAGTTGAAAATCATATAAAAATACTTCCTTATATGACTTTATGATAGTTTTTTTTTTTTTATAAAAACTAGACAAGTTTTCAATCAAATGGTTGAATCATTTTGGGCTAAATTCATAGATAGCAATTATAAAAATAGGTAGCAATAAAACCTACTAGGGTAAATACACATTGTGAATATCGTTTTCCTCATAATTTTGTAATTCACGAATACTGTATAGAGCAAATCATAATTTTTCTGTGATATATATTTCTTTGTATGCATATTTCTTCTGTACTAAAGCCACGATGTAAATTATGTACATTTCTTGCGCGAAAATGATATTATGTAGGCTTATACGGATCAAAATCTACCAGACTTGTAAAAATTTGCACATTTGCACAACATAATCTCTATCAATTAGAAACATTTCAGAAAGAGTTTTTCAGAAACATTTTGGGCACTGGTCTTATGTAAATTTTGTGATAAATGAAGATTCTGTTTTTTTTTTTGGTAATTGTTTATGTACAATATAATTAATTTTCAGACTACTGGAAGAAAAAGGTCCAAGAATATGACTCTTGGTTAGAGGAAGACGAAAAATACGGCGTGGATGAGTCTAAGCGGCCAGGGAAACCTAAAACTGCTGAAGATTTGTTAGGCATAGATGGCACTTTCAGAAAATTGGACTTTGATTAAATTATAAATACATGTTTTTATTACGATATTATACACATTTATATTTTAATGAAAGTAATATTATTGTATTTCTAATTTGAAGTAATGGGACCGTAAAAATAAAAGAAAATAACCATTGAACTTAATTAAGCCTTATCTTAATTATCAAATTAAGCGTAATAAGTAGATAATTAACAGACATACATAAATAGTTTTTTTTTGTATACTTACATATTTTAAAGTTACTGTTTCTTTTCAATTATCATAAATCTTTAAGAGGAGATATTTTACTGGATGATATTGAAATGGCAGATATGTCTGTGTCGTTGGTTTGTGGAGGTCGATCTTACAGAATATATGCTAGAAATGGAATCGCTAGTTCCCAATAATAACAACTCGAAATTCTAAGAAGCAGTTGGGGAAACGAAGAATACAATCACTAGTACAATAGATAAAACCTTACTTCTAACTTGGATCGGTAAACAAAGTTCTTTTCTAGGGTCAATTCCATCCAATCCTATTTATTTGTATACTATTTATTGGTAACTTTTTAATAAATATCAAGCTTTTTTCGTTTATTTCTTGTTTTTATTTTTTTATACAACTTAGGATGGCAAACAAGCTGACAGCCCACCTGATGGAAAGTGGTAACCGTCGCCTATAAACATAAGCAGTACCATAGTAGACTGTTTCGCCCATGATACCACCCATGCGTTGTCATTCCTGAGGACTCAGATGTTATTCCTCTATACCCTGTAAATTGACGCCATATCCCAGCCTTCAAACCGAAACACAGCCATGCAAACATAACTGCTTCACGGTAGAAACACGAATGGGACAGAGGTACCCAAGCAATTGACTTTTGTACAAAGTCTCCCTCTTATTTTGTTTCTCATATTGCATAAGCATTGTTATATGTATTTATATAATAAGATTGTGAATAGTTTTTTAAATTTCATTTATATGGCGGAAATAAATAGCGACAACATCAACTGTACTGCATGGAGTCAATAATGCAGGTAGCTCAGAACCGTTCCTTATGGCAGTCTATGTAAGACTGCCATAAGATAAGTATGTAGTGAATGACTAATATTGTTGATCATTTATTAGTTGTGGGACGTTAATAGTTTAATATGATGGTAATTGTAAAGGCTAAACTGTTGTTAACTCTACATAACAAATTTCTTGGCCATGGAACTTGCCACAAAACAGTTTGTTGTTAATAATTTGTTAGGACTTTTTACGTAATATAAATTTTGACGAGTAGGTACCTATAGACGAAAGTAGGTTATATTGAAGCTGTTTACTTAGCAACATCATGGTTTTAGCTATTAATTTAGAAATTATTTCAAATGCAAATTCCTGAGGATGATGGTGTAATGTTATTTTGTAATATAAATACTATATGTCATTCTTCAAACCAGTAGTCCATGTATAATTTCTAGGTAGCAAACTATACTATATTTTGCTTTGCAATAAGCAAGATTATATTCTGCACAGAAAGATGGCAGCTTCGATTTTTAATTATTTATCGCTTTCAGACCTGAACGATACGAGCGTGAGTTGTAACTTTAAAAAATTCTAAAACCGCGCGCAATTCATTTTTACGCACGAAGCTGAAATAACATGATAGTGAGATTCTAAACCAGCCAGTAAGAAATCATTTTAGCGGTTAGGTGGTGCAGTAGTCTCGTGCGTGCCGGCAAGATGGCTTGGCTCCAAAACACGAAAATATATTTAATCTGAAAGAAAAAAAAATTGGGTTTGAAAGGGTTATATTAGTAATATTCGAAAATTAATACGGGATTATTACTCGTATAATTATTTAACCGTTAACTGTCCACTGCTGGACATAAGCTTTCCTCATAAAGGGAGTTTTGCTAGTAGCTGCTAAGCTTGTTAGGCAGGTTCACAACCGAAGTTAGGCTTTTACAGATGTTTTAAGAGGGACTCTGCCGCTCATACCTCGCCTTCCTTAGTCGCCTCTTATGACATCCACGGGAAAGGAAGGGGTGGTCCATTTTATGTCGAGGCATTCACGGCGTTATTATAATATTGTACACTGCTAAATATAGGTCTCTCCAGGGTTTTACCAGTAGTTGCCACATTTGACGGGTAAGTTGGCAACCGCAGTTAGGCTTGGATAATGTTATAAGAGCTGTATGCTGATACGCTGTTGTCCATCACATAGGAGACTAACACGGTATTAAATGCTAATTGATTGTAAAATGTTCTAAGAAGAATATTTAAGAATTAACATAAATAAATAAAAAGCTACATAATCGGTTATCATAGCCATTAAAATATATACCTACAAATTGTAATCTTTCTCCTATTTACAATCGACTTCAAAAAGAAGGAGGTTCTCAATTCGATTGTATTTTTTATGTGTTTGGTACTTCATAATTGCGTCAGTTGTAATTCGATTTAGAACATTATATTTTTTATCTGAAAGAATATGTTTTCAAATTAATCCCATAGAAATTTTATCAAAATTGGGTCCGTAGTTTAGTTTTTAAATAAAAATAATAAATTTTACCATAGTTTATGTTGCTGTATTTTTATGGAACACAATCTTATTTTGGAATTTGTTTAAAAATTACCCGAACAAATGTCTCGTATTATTAGCACAGTATCTACACGGAACACCTAGGTATCTATTATCTATACTGCTATCTATCAAATATCGACCCTTCTAGAAACCATAAAAAATATTAATTTATAGAATGTTATATATCTAGATAATTTTTGTAATCAATCGGTGTACTCATGACGATAAGAACGTCAAAGTTTTATTTATTTGTTGCTTATAAATATCAGAATTATGTAGTTAGTATAATAGGTTAAGATCCCGTCGTTGAATTCTGCATTTATTATTTTTGGTAACATATTGTTTAATTGAAAGATGAGTGAAAATATAAAATAATGCACCCGAGGCACCTGCTCTTAATTAGCTGCTATCTAGAATTGCCCGGGGGAAATTGTTACTTGTGGCAATTGTTTTATAGCCATACCCATATTGTTGTATAAAAAAAGGTAAAAAACTACTGATTAGTATAAGTTTTGTCAATAATTACCATTTCCTATAACTGCAGCACCATCATCTGGAACAAAACTTTAGATACTGGCAACACTTACACGCGGCAATTTTTCATATACAACCATACGTTACCGTAAACAAAAAAAAAAAAAAAACTTGTGTTTGGTGTACATATATCTCATCAGAAAGCATGATGAGTTAATTCAACTTATCAAACATTTTACCTATTTAAACTCGGCGATCCTAGGTTGTGGCTGGACATTAAGTCACCTAGGTACATTGTATTGAATTTTCGCTCACCTGTCATTTAACAAGTTTGATTTAAAAAATTTATACCTGCGGAAATCAGAAGCGGAATCATAGACTATAATAACAATCATCATATCATATCAGTCTTTAACTATCCATTGCTGAATATATATCTCCCCTTCGGAAATGTTTTAACAGGGACGCTGCTACCCATCCTCGTCTTCCCTTAGTGACCTCTTACTATGTTCATGGAAAAGGAAGAGGTAGCTAATTTTATGCCGGGACCATATGGCAATAATAACATTATAGATATGTAATCCAATTTTTTTTTCTTTTACTATTATTATAATCATTTCGATTATAATATATATAATATACAAACTTTATAGACTAGAAATTCTTGTTTAGTAAATACTATTCCATTTTTAATACCTTATTTAGAACTTTATGGTAGTTTATGGAGGATGTTTAGTGATGATTAATGCATGTTAAAGAAGATTTTTATATTTATCTATGTATTAACTGTGTTGATTACCTCAAAGTCACGGTTGACGTACCCTAACGGAAAGTTCTTCTATTGCAACATTACGTTCGCTGTGTGCAGGATTTACTAGATTATGCAGTTAACGATTGCTTATTTCGCATATAGGTACATACATATTTAGTAATCCTTTGTAAATATCCGGAGTGAAACAAGTATCGATAGATGGATCGTCTAGAGTGGACTGCTTATTTGTTAGCAGTTTTTTTTAGTATTTACATTTATAGTTGAAACCAATTCTTTTTTATTTTTTTTTATTTTGTAAGTATGGATATTCGACCTCTACCGTTGGAACTCATAGAAAAGGCTCGTGTAGAACTAAATGAAGACCCAAAACGTCTAGAAGATGGAATAATACATTTAAAGGAGTGGATTGCAAAACAACCTCACTTACGTGCTAGAACAGGTAATGATATGGGAAATATATTTCGTTTTGATTTTCGTTTTACCATATATTCGTAGGCATTAATTTAACTTTTATATCTCTTATAGGTTTTTATCTTTTACTAGTGATTAAATTACAGAATTTTAGAATAGTAAATATATCCCACAAATCTTTTTTTTTATGAAACTAGGAATGGCAAACAAGTTGACGGCTCAAAAAGTGGTAACCGTCGCCTATAGACATGAGCAGATAACAGAGTATACTGTTTCGCCCATGATAGCTCGTTGCCGTTTATGAGGACTCAGGTATTATTACTCTGTATCCTGCAAATTCACTGGCATATTTCACTTTTCAAGCCGAAACACAGCCATGCAAACACAACTGCTTCACGGTAGAAACACGAACGGGACAGAGGTGGCCAAGCAAATGACTTTTGTATAGTCTGCATCTCTTTAATTTAAATATCAATTATGGGTAACTAAAATGCAAGTGCAAAACAGGCAACTACAAAGTAACTTCGTATTTTCATTGTTGGAAACTATTTTGTAATATAGGAGTTGTTTAACCTTGAAATGTTAAAATTGTATGCACAATAATTGTGATGATGATGATTTAGTATTTTTTATGTAATTTTTAGATGATCAATGGCTTGCAGCGTTTTTGCGGGGTTGCAAACACAGTCTAGAACTCGCGAAGGAGAAAATTGATATTTATTATTCTCTGAGAAGCACAGCACCGGATTTGTTTAGTTTGAAACACACTGATTTCAAGTTTATGGAGCTACTAAAATCAGGGTTTAGTGGTGATATTTTATTATGTATATATTAGTAAAATTAGTTAGGTTTAGTTATACAATTTTTTTATATATGTACTTAATTTAGATGCGTTACCTTATATTGTAGCTATTTTTTCATTTATGAATTCATTTCTGGCGTTTGTTTTTTTGTTCCATTTTGTAAAGGGCCAAATATTGGAATCATTATTAGACAGACAGTTTTTATTATATATGTTTAAGACATAAGTTTAAATAATAATAATGCAATTATTTAAATTTATGCTTTATAAACAAACAAATTAATGTAAACACTATTGTAATAATACTCATATATTGTGTAAATTACATTCATGTTACATAAAATAGCTTAATTTGTCAGTGGTACTTAAATAATTTTATCTTATTAAAGTTCATAATTATACGAATACTCATGTAGTTTGTAGTAATTATTAGGTAAATATCATAGGATAATTATTATTCATCAAACCTCTATTATAATTAGAGGTTATATAAAAAAAAAGTTGAGATAATCACATATGTATATTATATAAATTTACATTATTGTTATTATCACAGACTTATTTTATATTAAGTAGTATGCAATGTTCTAGAAATAATAAATCAGACTGTGTTTTATATTATAGGGTTCTATTAGTTCTTCCAAAAATTGTAAATCCAACGGATCCAAGGGTCATTCTAATAAGAGCAGGAGAGTATGATGCAAACAAATACTTCGTGACCGAATTGCTAGCTTTATCTTTAGTTATACAACAGGTAATTATTGTGAATATTATATAATTATTCTTATTTGACAGTATTGAATATCATAACTGTTTAAATATTTATTGTACATTATATTTTGTATTGTAGATATTATATTTAGAAGATGATGTTTTAGTGGTATCTGGTATTATCAATATATTGGACTTGGAAGGAGCTTGTATGAACCATTTTATGCAAATAACACCAACGACTTTAAAGAAGCTAATGGTTACCGGTCAGGTAATTATTGCGTTGTATAAATAATTGTATAATTTTACTTTAGGTTATAATGCACTTATTATGCCGCTTTGGGTATTTGTCTTGCCGGTACCCCTCTAGGCCCTATTATTGTATTATGAACAAAAGTTTTATGCCATTTTTATTCAGTTAGTGGTTGTATACCGTGGTATTAATCAATTTAGAACAAATATTATATTTTCGTCGTACTTTGTAAGTCACAAATAATTTTAATATTAATAGATACGTTTTTATTATCGTACGTGTGGAAAAGGACAAGATGTCATATGAAATCTGTTTCATGCATGCAGTAGCGAAAATATATCCATCAAAACATTCGTTTTTCATTAATTTAGGGGCAAGGATATCTATAAATTGGGAAACGTTATAAATAAACATTTCTAAATTTACAAACATTTAACAGATGAAATCCTATTTTTCAGGACGCATCTCCTGCTCGATTGAAGAGTGCTCATTACTTAAGTACGCCGCCGGGATTTTGATACAGTTCTTACTATCGGTAAAAAAATTATGAGTGAAAAATTTAAGAGCAGAGTATGTATCCTAATATACGATTATAAGAATAAGACCATTATTTGATATTTGTCTAATGAATTAATGATGTAAGTTAATGCCAGAACAGTTTTTTTTCAATTTAATGGTGTCTGTTCTGAAAAACCACGTCGTTTATATAAAACTTTTGAGTTAGTTATAAATGAAAAAGTTATAGACAAAAAGATCCACCTCATGATGTTTTATTTGATTTATTTTGTTTCAGTTTTATTTTTATTTTGTTTTTATTTTCAGTTGTACGTGCACAATAAAAATTTTGATGAATTGTATAAGCATGTATCGAAAGAAATATTACCAGCTGAGTACGGAGGGAATGGAGGTTCAGCGCGGGAAATAATAGGTAGGTCTGCTTTAAGTACTGAAAGAGCAAAATTCAAGAACTAATATATTATCTTATTGGAACATGTCATGTTACTTCATGAATTAATCATGACAAGCAGGAAAATAAAGTATTTAGTAAAACTTATTTACATGTAACTCTGTGTACAGATTATTGGGTTAAGAAGATAGAAACGTACAGAGATTGGCTAGAAGATGACCAGCAGTACGGTACCGATGAGTGTAAAAGGGTTGGAAATCCAAAAACAGCAGCAGATATATTTGGAATAGAAGGATCCTTCAGACAATTAGAATTTGATTAAATAGTTCGGTAAAAGATTTATATAACAATGGTAGTTATATATATTTATACTTACTTATATTTTAGTGCTTTTTTCACTGGGGTTTTGTTTATAATTGTGTTTGGTTTGAAACTATTTCATTACGAACAAATTTAATAAAAGTAAGTTTAGTTTCTAGTTTAGATACTTGTACTTTTTAGCAATTCGTTTATCTTAGATATTTATGGAAAATAATAAAATTTTATGAAGTAAATAATGTCCTATATCCATATTTATTTATAAATTTATCAAACACTGTTATATTTCTTTTAGCATTTATTAAAAATAAAGTTTCGTTTAGGTAACGAATTGTACCATGATTTCTTTCGATTATTCATTGCAGAACATAATTACCTTTATGACTGTTATAAGATCATCTGAGTTCATTGATTTCTTACATTAGTAGTGTAGGACTTTTTCTTATAGATTGTTAGTTCTTAGATCTGGCTGATCTATTGTAATTTCAGCTTGCTAATCCTTTTGGCTTCATCCACTGCCAAACTTAAGATTATTTTCTAGGAGGTGCCTGGCCCCTTGAAGAAGGCGCATATCTACTCTCAGATACGTCTTTACGAAGCTTTGCTCACATCTTAGGGTAGGCATTGACGATTCTGGGATTGACACGACTCTCCCCACTAAATATGCTTATGGGTCCACTTGGTTTTTTAATCAACTTCAAAAACAAGTTTCGGTTATAATTTTTTATGTTTGCTATCTCATTACTCCTTCCGTTGTAAACTGATTTGGATTTTTTTTTAAAGGATACACTTATAGATTGGTTGCATAGAAATTTTATCAAAATCGGTTTTGTAGTTCAGTTTTAAAATTAAAATATCTGTCGTCACAATTAAAGCCGGAATTTTTGTAGAACTGTGTTTTAATGCTACCTAAATATATAAGTAGGATTTACCCACATATTTCTCATTCAATTGTCTATATATTATATTTAGATTATGATTATCTAGTTGATCGCACCTTTAAACGGTGGTATTAATGTTTGTGAATAAAATTATATACAATATAGAAAATGTCAATATTGCATAAGTATACAACTAATTTGATATATATAAAAACATACATAAGATGTTTTTTGAATTGTATTCAAATGTATTTAAATATTGTTTGGTAATTAAGCAATCATTATCTAGGTATTATAGAAATAATGTTTATTACAGTAATAAACACCAATACGTGGTAGATATGACATTTTTGTATTTTGTTTCTTCGATTAGAAAAATGTTTGTTTGAAACTCGCTAGGAATGTTTAATATAATTAAATGTTTGTATTTGTAAAAATAATTATCAAAATCGGTTCAGAATTGGCGAAAACACCACATGTCTAAAGTGGGATTAGGAATTTTTTATTTTGGTCCATAACTGTAGTTAAGAACCGAACTGTATAACTGTCGTTTTTGGTTTTTTTTTGGTAATTTATTAAAAATTATGCTAGTTAGAAAATTTGTTCTGTTTTTCACTTTTTTTTTATGAACCGATATATTTTAGATTTTTTTAATTTTTTAATTGAATTGAAGATAATACCTACTAGTATTACTAATATTATAAACGTGAAAAAAGTTTGTCTGTTTGTTATTTGTTTGTCCTTCAGAATTTAGAGACACTCATATTAGGTACAAAACAAAATGACAAGTAGGTAATAAGGATTTTGTCTCACTTAAGATTTATATTTATATTTAATATATTTCTTAAAAAGTAGCTTATATCTTTCTCCATTTCATATAGTACGTGTATACCAAATTTCATAGTGATTAGTTAAGCCATTGCACAAACAAACTTATTTTCACATTTATAAGGATGATATTAGATTTCAAACTAAAATATCTGTTGCTATGAGAAATTATAGAATGTACGAATGTTTTTTTTTTTATTTAAAACTTCGATCTGGAAATTCTATCAATCGAGCGTCACTATTATTCTTGGATTATACCTAAAATAATTGAAATTAGGTAATATCCGAAAAAAATTAATTAGGAAGAAAAATAGGCTTTCCACAGCTTGGAATTGAGTGATACCTAAGACACGCATTCATTTCTTTACGTAGTGTGGATATTGTGAGTGCGGTGTGTTGAATGGAATGTTTTTTTTTAATGGATGATTATTGAATGGTAACCTCACCCGCGCTAATGGCGAGGAACCAGTGAGAGATGATAGGTAAGGATGAAAAGGCAGGCCAGTTAGTCCATCGTGATGAATACACCTGGAATTCAGCACGATGGTTTGATTGAGGGACTACGTTAAGATCAACCTGACAGGATATATTGCTAGCAATGGGACTGGTAGTCTGGATTACTAGCAATCCTTCCCCCTCCACCCCCCAAATCAGGAATGTAGGTACCATTTACCTGCAATTGTATCGCATTAAATTCCGATAGTGTGTGTTAAAATATGCAAAGAATTTCCTCTAGTTGGGGCAGGTCTAAAAAGGCTGGGAAAAAGTTAACAATAATTTGTGAAACAGTACAAATAAATGTTTTTGTGTTTATTCATATCATACATACAGGTTGAATACGGATCAATGTAATAAATGGTACATAGATATTATATATACTGACGAATAAGTAGGTATCACGGTTCGACGGTGTAGATAACAACATTGGAGCAGTCATGTATTATCAGTCAGACGGTGTTGCGTTTCGCTCTCAGCTAACAAAAGGTACACCGGTTCAACATTGTTTAAATAGTTTTAATGTTTGTACAGCATTTTTATTTACCACAGTACATTTTATTTTTAGTGATTTTTAATAATAACTCTTCTATGTACTATTTTAAGGATAAATATTGTTGTACAGAACATAAATAGATATATATATGTATAGATAAATAGTACAGAGATAAAAATGATACGTGAACTGACACCAGGATTGGCTAAAATAGCAAAAGAAGAATTGAACGAGGAACCGAAAAGAATTAACGACGATTTGCAACATTTGAAGGATTGGATTACAAAGCAACCACATTTGAAAGCGAGAGTCGGTGAGTTATAACATGAATATTAAAATAAGTACATATATCGCTGTATTTTTTCATTTAAATGTATGTATTTCGATGTATGTATTTTTTTTGTTTCTAGGTAAAACTATAAAAATGACATTTAATGAATTAAAATATAAAGAATATGAATTTTATTACCTGCATATTTTTGAGTTTATACTTTACTTAATACATGATCTATTTTAAGGACATGTAAGAAATAGAAACAAAATAATTTTTTGATGAATTAAAGGAAACATTCATTTCTTTCTTAGATATTTTAAAACGTGCCTTATTCGGTAATTATACAAAAAGAAAAAAATATTGCTTTTATGTAAAATAGAACAAATTCTCTCCAATAAACATTGACATTTTATTTTAAGGAAAATAATGAAATGTTACCTTTTGTATATTTCGATCTAAGGAAAAATACAATGATATTTTTTAAAGATAAAGCTTATTGTTTGTTATTAAAATGAATAGAATTTAGCTTTGAAATAAGGATAAAATATAATTAAAAAATACAATCCCTTAGTATTGTGGTACTGATATATATCTATATAAATAAATATTATTTGAACCTACATTTCAAAGATAATGTTTATTTAATAACAAAGAAATGTATTTATTACTTATTTTCACATTACAAGTTCCAGTCAATTTATGAACAAAATTATTTTCTGCTGAAGGTAATTTTTAAAACTGATTCTTCTATTAGTATAATACGGGAACAGAAGATGTTTACTTTCGCATTTTGAATTGATTCTATTTGTGGTTTAGATAGGTAAACTATAAAAAATATTGGTGAATATTGTCACCACTTTTCATTGGTTAAGCTTGTTTGTCAACTATACAAAATCCCAAGTGATAATGTTCATTCTGAGTAATTTTTTAAACTGCTTAACCGATTTGAATGTTTGCAAATGTGTAGGTATTGTTTGCTTCAATTTGAGAAGTAGAATAGTTTTTATTTCAATAATAAAAAATATCTTAATATATATATATATAAATAATCATGTAATTTATCAATATTTCAGATGATCAATGGCTAGTAGGATTTCTGAGGGGCAGTAAATTCAGTTTAGAACGAGTAAAGAAGAAACTGGACTTGTATTATAGGTTAAGGACAACTAGTCCCGATATAACATTACGACTAAAACCCAGTGATTCCAAATTCATTGATTTTCTTAAAGTGGGGTATGTAAACAAATTTAATATTTTGTTATTGGTAAAAGTTCAGAATTAATTCGAATTTTCTTCATGCTAATACTAGTGTGGGGTTTTTTTTTAATGAGTGATAATGGAATGGTAACCCCACCCGCGCTAGGGCATATTACTAGCAATGGGGCTACTACTAATCCAAATATTTTATTATTAAAGTAGCTTTTAGTTAAATCCATATAGATTTGATGTCATTTACGAATATGTAAAATCCATATTTAATAATTAATTGTCAAATTCAGTTTCTTTTTGTAACTTTATCAATTGACAGTTGTTGACATCGGCTTACTTAAGCTAAGCCATTAACTAACACTACTTACCTTCTATGAAACCTGTTTAATTAAATAGCAATCGTTTAATCCATACGTTATTTCTTTTTTTCTTACCTTTCTATAATGTTTATTGCATGTTTGCATTTGTATGTTTTTTAAATGTATATGTAGCTTCTTTTTGCCTCAATTGTAATCTGAAGTAAGTACTTCTTAAAAGAATTTGTGATTATAGAAAATTATATCTTAGGTTTCAGTAATTTCTTATGTACACATTTTTTTCTTTCGTCATTTTATCTTTTTTTACATCTAAACAAAGACAATCGTCGATACCAGATAAATAAATGTTATCAGTCTCATGATGAAATGTCTAAATAGACATTGCAATTGTCCAGTTTCTTTGAAATCAAGGTAGAACTTATAACTATATTAAACACTCGTAGATAAGCGTACTCAATTATATTGATAAATATTTAACTAAATCTACATAACTATATTTTTCAGGACATGTTTAGTTTTACCAAAGGCGAAGAATGGGTTGCAACCACGCGTTATTCTTCTCAGAGCGGGTGCTTATGATCCTGAGAAGAATAATGTTGCTGATATCATGTGTATTTTGTACTACTTAGTTCAGGTATATAGACGTAACTATTTATTATAATTTATTAGGTGACATATCAACAATCAAAATTTGGTATATTTTTACTAAGGATATGGTGGAGTACATATTTCATTTGAATACTAGCTGCATCTAGCAGGTTTGCCCGTTGTCATATCGTGATATTGAGTAGTCTATAATTTATCCTTAAAGAAATGAATTATCAAAAGTAAAAATATTTTTCAAATCCGACACATGGTTACAGAGATTTTTTATATATATATTAGTATAGATACTTAAATGTGCAGTGTATGGGTTTATACAGATATGTGATTAAATAATTCTGCTTTTAATAATACCATTACAAGCTGAATTGTGTATATTTAATGTATTATTAAATGGTATCGTCCTGTACAATTTTAGATCGTGTTGATGGAAGATGATGCAGCGACAGTGATTGGCACAAAGATTTTGGTAGACTATCAAGGTGTTACTATGACTCATTTCGCACAAGCTAGCCCGTCGTTACTGAAGAAAATGGTAGCAGTTTGTCAAGTAAGTTCATACTGTGTACAAGGAGAAATTATTAGTATTATTTGAAAGGAGCGTTCTACCAATCAAAACATGCGTTGAAAAATTTGAATCTCTTGTATTAATACAGCGCGTTTAGCTATTGAGTTACTAGTAGTAAATCGACAAAAAATGTTTGGTCTTTTGTGAATTTTGGATTCACGAAATTAATAATAAGCATAAGTAGATTCTTAATATTACGTACCTCTAATGATTTCGATTTTACCCTGTATGTTTATATATATATATAAATATGGTCACATATGTAATCTCTAATGCGGTAGTCAGAAGCATGTGCTGCATTTTATCATTGTAGGGAATATAAAATTCGATATTCCTACATACCTCTGTATATGTTTGTATCCATTTTCACGAGAACAGGCACACAAACAAAAGAGAAAAAAAAATGTACATATCGTCAAAGTCATAGAATACTGATGGATCTGATAAAGATTACATATAAAGATCCGTCAGTATTCTACGACTATGACGATATGTCATTTTTTATCTTTTTTTTTGTATTTATTTACTTTTTTTTTATCTTGTAAAGTGGTACAAATAAATAATTTATTTATCTGTTCATCTATCAACGTATCAGGAGGCGAGCCTGTTACTAGGGCTTTATTTGGTCGGTCTCACTATATATACACAATACTATAACATTAGGCCACAATCATCGAGCAAGTACTCACCATGTTAGTCACTACAATTATTATTATTTAATCTGAGTGAATACTAAGTACCTACAGAGTACTTAAAAACGCCATTAGTGGAATCGACGGGTCGTGATTTAGTTTTTTTTTTTGCACATCGTATAAAAATTGTGTTATTTTGTTGACTGAACATCGAAGTACTTGATTATACATATTGATTCTGTAACAATTAATTTGCTGTAAGAATCAATTTGTTATAAGTTTCTATTATTAGATATTTTTTAATTACTTAACATTTGAATGTTTGATTTGATCGATTGTTAAATTTGTTGCTTGAATTCATTATATCTACAAGACAGTCAAGTTCAAGGACAGTTGATGTAGTTATTTTAAGTTAGTTCATGTTATATTTATGCGGGTACTTAGATCATATTGATGTATGTGTGCATATTAAATTTATTACGAAATGATTCTTGAACATATATTTCTTATTCTTTCCAAATCTTTAATTACGAGTATTTTTATTGCATTTGATTTTGGAAAAATCTTATAGATAAGTTCATTGTTTAATTTTCATTGGAATAGGAGACAAATTAATTATTTTTTCCTTATTATTATTTTTTTGTTTCAGGATTCAATGCCTTTACGTTTGAAGGGTAGTCATCACATAAATGTGCCTTCTGGTGTTGAGTTAATCTTCTCACTTATTTCAAATTTCTTAAATGAAAAAGCTAAAGAGAGAGTATGTATAATTATTTATACGATACGATATAGTGATAATTTAATTCACTTTTGTTAATAAACCTTTACGTAGTCAAGGTATTTGTCGTACGTCGTGTTGTAGAGAATGTAACTCTTGACATAATTACATTTCGTTGAGTCTGTATCGTTATTTATTTGTTTTATTATCAGTATTATCTATCACCATGACAGTTAATGCTGTATGGTCCCGGTATAGAATAGGCCATCCCTTCCTTTCCCGTGCATGTCGTAAGAGGCGACTAAGGAAATTTAATAGTCAAGGGATGGCCAGCAGCGTCCCTTTCAAAACATTTCCAAAGATTAACTGCGGTTGCCAACCCGCCTGCTAAGCATGATAACTACTGGCAAAACCCTTCAATACAGGTTTCTATATGTCTATATGTTCAGCCGTACACACTTAATGTCCGATATGGTCTGGAATGGAGTTAGTCGAACTCACAATCTTGTGTTGGTATAGTTATTATATATTATTTTGTAATTTTCGTACCTTTACCATTTATTGTATAATATATAAAATATAAGAAATAGTTATATATAGTCAATTAGATGAAGCAATATAAATGGCAGTCTTATTGTTAAGTCGCTTTGATGCGGTAGTGAGAAACGTTTGAAATTTTGTTATTTTGTGCACGTAACATTTTCGTTGGTATTACTCGAATTCAACGTGACAGCAGATGAGTCTACCGCCGTCTAAATTTGCATAGCAATGTGTAAAAATACAGGGTGTAATTCGAATCCTAATTTTAGTAAGTACGAATATGACACGTAAAACTAAGAGCTTATTAAAGTTACAGAACATTTAATTTAATATCTAAAGTTAAAAACTAAAGTTAAAAACGAGGAAAAATTATGGGGCTCCATATTAATTTCGCCGCGCAATATGGAAACCTCAATTTTTTGTCTTTTTTTTTGCTAAAAGTTCAGTTTCACTAGTAGAACACCGACATCAAAGGAACAAATGAATGAATGAATTTTATTTACTAAATATTGGTAATAATCAGTAGTAGATCTTAAATTTAATGATAATTATTAGCAATACTTTCCATTACGTAGGTGTGTATATGTTCTTTTTGTAATTAATAGAATAACACAGTAATAATATTAAGAGATAACATTAACAAAATCGATTACGTTAAATTATAACTATTAATAAATGTGTTTTCGATTAAACAAGATAATTTTATATAGGTAAAGAGCCGGTAACGCAAAATTTTTTTTTTTTAAACAATACTTTGCAATTCTCTATGGATGCTAACGATTTCGATTTCACTCTGTATGTGCAGGTATATATTATATGTATAAAAACTTTAACTAATAATACATTTATTTTGGTTACAGTTGAATATCCATAAAAATCAAGAGGATTTATTTAAATTTATACCTAAAGAAATTATACCGGCTGAATACGGAGGTGATGGAGGCACTGTATCAGAACTTATCGGTTAGTTACTGTATATTATATAATATGATCCTGATATTATATGATATTATATTATATTTGAAGTAAAGTCAATTTAGGTCCAATAAATGCAATACAATTGAGCTCCTTAATAGATACGTAGCAGATACATTAGATAAATAATTAAGTATACAGATAATAGTTACGCCTATGTTTTTTTTGTATTTGTATGTACGCTTATGTATTAGCTAATTTTATGAATTAAATTCATGTTATTAATTTCCATTTCGCATTCAAACGATTTTAAAAAAATTTGAAGTTTCTTTCAAAGAAATTGGAGGTTCTCAATTGGGTTTTTTAATATTACAAATAGTTACCTCAGATTTTTTATTTATCAACAGATTTAGAAAATTCTTTTTTTTTTATTTGAAAGAATATAGTTTCAGATTGGTTTCATAGAAAATTTATTAAAATCGGTTTAGTATTTTAGTTTTTAAATCAGAATACTGGTTATGCCGCGATCGAAGACTGCGTTTTTTCTGTGTAAAACAAAATCAACTTGTTGCTTTTTGGTATATTTACATATATACATAGTTAAATAAAATTATATAAATATAAAATACATATTATGACATTCTTAAGCTCCATCTTACATTCGCCATTTAATCAAATATGTAATAATAGAATATGATTTTCATATTTTACTAAATACGATGTGCGAACCTTCAAGAAGAGAGTTTATTTCTTCTTAAAAGGCGATGCATCGGTAATTTGTATAGTGTTGCTAGCACCTATGGGCCATGGTTATAGTACAGTATTATATTGTATGTGGTCAATGTAGTACTCGGCTGACCTGATGGCAATAGTCATCAGGTCAGCCGCGTGCTACGTTGACAAATTTTCACGTAAAAAAATAATAACTTTTTAATATGTAATCGTAATAAATGTACTTAAATATTTAATCTTAACAATGATAATATTGTTAAATATTGTTTTAGATTGTTGGACATTAAAATTGAAAGAGTACAATTCATGGATGCGGCAAGAAGAACAGTTTGGTACCGACGAGTCTAAGCGGGCAGTCAAATTAGATAACAATGACGAGTTTAGCAATCAAGGATCATTTAGGAAACTTGACATAGATTAACATACATATTAACATAGACTAATATACATTACATTAAGATTTATAAGAGCTACGCATTAAAATGCCCATATAATATGTTTTTATATCTTGTTTTTGTACTACCTAACAATTTTTAGATGTTAATTTTCTAGTTTATTAATTATTTTTTTTAATATAATAAATTTTATCATTACTGTTTAAAATATTTAATTAATAAGATATATGATAATAATTGAATTGGGTTCCATAAAAAAAGCTGACTTCAATTGTGGCCAGTTTAATTTAAAAACTAAAATACTGCACCGATTGTGGTAAAATTTATATAGGCCAATCTGTAAGTATATTTTTTCAGATAAAAAATATATTTTCTGTCGTTTCTGTCTACGGTTGACTGGTAGATAATGTCATATGTTGTTAAGTCTGCCATTTATATTATCTGGGTGTAGGAAAGTTAATTAAATAAATAAATAAAAAAGGAATATTCCAAATCGGTTTACAACTGATAGATTTATGAGCTAGCAATATAAAAAAAATACAATCGATTTGAGGACCTCCTGTTTGATGTCGGTTCAAAATAAGTTAATATATCTGTACTATATATGCTTTCTAAGAGAGCATTTAATATTTGGGAATATATTAACAAAAACTAAAAAGTGTTTCTTAGTTGATAAGTTCGATTGCTTTATTTGAAATACTGACTGTCTGATCTAAGTTTTTTATACAAACAGCCTAGCAAGTAGCCAAGCATACGGTCCATTTGATGATCGCGACCGCCATAGCTCATGAATATATACTCATGGCCACACAGAGCAAAGACGTCATTTACGTCTGGCTGAGCCTTATCGTATCTTGAACCAAAGAACCTATCAAGTTTGCCGCAATATCTTGCCGAAAATTTAAATGTTTTGTGTCTACTTGAAGTTATTTATGATACTAATACAATACGTACGGAACTAAATAAAACTGTTTATATACCTACACGGTTTAAATGTATCATTTAAAATTTTAGAGTTGTATAAATAGAACAAATGAAACATTGGAAGATATTAAATTCTTCTAATTAGAATATTACCTAATTGATAATACACACACTACCAAGAAACTCGAGCGTATCGAGTTAGTTGTTAGGTGAGAAGTAATTAACATAATACAGGTAACGGCTTGCATTAGTCAGTTTGAATGAAACCTCCGCTGTAGTAGTGTCTCGTTTCATGCCTTATCAGCGTTATCGAGGGGTGATACGTAAACGAAACAACAACGATAAGCGAATGTTTAATTTTCGTTTAGTACACTCATGAAAATTAATGTCTGCGATTGCATTTTAGTTGCATTTTTTACCTAGTTAAAGTCAGCCGACTAATAGAAACATTGTGTCTTGAATGGTGTTAATAAATTGTAGTTTAAATTAAGGAAAATAATATCAGGTAAGTTTTTTTTTTTTTATACAAGATGAAGTTTAAATACATTAACATGCTTTTACGGAAGTTCTACTGTTAAAACCAAATACAAACATGAGTCAAATCATATTTGTCATCTTTCTACCAAAAATATTAATATATGATAAATGATAATTAATATGATATGACGATTTTAAGTCTCCCACACTATCTTGATAAATTAAGGAAGCGCTGTATTAGTATTAGAGGCCCAAAATTTTTTGTCGTTTTTCTACTTGCTCTTAAAAGATGCTAATAATATTTTATATATACCACTGAGGCAAATAAGTATACGCATCAAATCATAAGCATCAAACAGTAACCTGCTTGATGGTAAGCGGTTACTGTAGCCTATGAACGCCTGCAATATAGGGGCATTACGTGTGCGTTGCCATACTTGAAGAAACCTCTTTACCCCTTTTTTGAAGAACCCCATGCTATAGTCTCTTAAAAAATCTCGACAGGAAGCTTATTTCAAAACCTGAGCGTTCGTCGGAGGAAATATCTCTGAAATCGCACTGTATACAATGTATATTTAAGTTCTAAGTTATGGGGATGAACTCCTTGTCGATGGCGAGCTGTACAACGTTAGAAAGTAGCCGTAGGAATAATATTGAACAACTTCTTTAAGCACGGTCCGTTGTATGTACATAGATAAAAAAGATTCACCTTGTACATATGTACAAGGTGAATCTTAAAAGGTTAATTAGTCCTAGAAAGATAGCAGCCTTTTAATAATTCCAGCATTCAAATAGACTTCATTTATTCTAGTTAAATTTAGAGTCTGTATATATATTAAAGCATCCATTACACGATTATTTCGTTGTCTGTTTTGGCAAACCACTGTTGACTGTTTGACGCCGTTATGTCTCTTTTTCAAGCATCGTAATATACATAATCTTCCATTCCACAAAATTATTCCATCTTCAAATGACATATCGTAAAATTATTTTACCACAGTTACGACTGCCATTCATGGATAACTTACTATGTAAATCCTACTGGAAATGCATCATGTAATAGCTTGCATTCAATTTTAATGATAAAAAATTCATTAATGTATAAAAATGAATTTTTTATTTATTATAAAATGTTTTATTTCTTAGATTTTATTGTATTAATAGATCTTCAAAAGATGCAAGGTTCTTATTTTGTCCGATTTTTTTACGATTATCTTTCGAGATAGGTCTAAATCGATTTTTACAATTCATTTTGCAGTCGATGAGTTTATTTCTGTCTGTATATTATTTATAAACTGCTTATAAAAAACTTATTACGAATTAAAATTTATATGTAAACACATTTACGATGATGGGTGTCTACGAAATATGTCTCTGTAGGGTAGATGTCGATTGAAGTCGTTTCATTTTTGCGGAGCGATAGGATGTACTTGTTTCAAAGTCATTAAGTGTAAATTTTTATCTGTCAAATAGGACTTTTATAATACCTCCGATTAACTATTGTATATACTTCTTTCAATAATATTAGGTGTTAATTTTATCTGTCAAATAGGACTTCTATAAACCCCTGATAAATTACTGTATATAAATGTTTCCGTTCAATACAGTGTAGTTACATGCGTTCATCATTTGTAATTGTGCGAGTGTGGCAAAATATATACCAAATTATTATTTAATAAATATCTTATTTTACACACATACATAGTGTTCTGATAAAGTTAAATTATTAATTAATAATTTATTATTTTTATTAATTAATAATTCTGAAAGTATAAATATTGGAAGTAACAAAAACTTAAAGTTTTAATGAAAGTATTGTTTACAGTGAGTATTAAATATTGCGAATAGATTTTTATAACAAATTAAGAGTATTCATAAAAAAGTTTGGTAACCAACGTCGCAATTATCAATAATTTTCAAAAGCAACTGAACTTTTTCAATGTTCCTGTATGATTATTTATGTACACTATTAGCAACTAAAACGTTATTCATGCAATAATATTAAGCTGTTTCCTATTAAGCTGTTGCTGAAAATTTGGATTATAATACAAAAATGACCTGGAAACATTCTTAAGCAAAATATGAAAGAGGTGAAAAGTTTTTAATAGTCGATTTATGTGCAAGATATTTAATGATTACCGTTTCCTAGCAGAGAATTTTTTAAATATTTAGTCAGAAGCATTGAAAAATGTTCAATTGTTTTGAAAATTGTCAAATAATTGCTACATTGCCACTAAAAGTTATAACTCTCTTAAGTTGTTAGATAATGAGAGAAATCAATACTGTCTCAAGTCAATTATTAAATACGATTTACTGCAATAGCCGTGTAGGTCTCGGCATAGAATAGGCCACTCCTTCTTTTCTTGTAAGTGTCGTAACACGCGACTAAGGGAGCTTATGGTGTAGGGATAGGCAGTTCCTCTTAAAACATCACCAAAAGCCAAACTGCTGTTGCTAACCCGCCTGCCAAGCTTGTCAACTACTGGTAAAACCCTTCTTATGGGAGAGGCTATGTTCAACAATGGACAGTTAACGGCTGATATGACAATTTGCAATAGGTATCATAAGATTCATTAATTCATAAAAATAGAAAAACAATGCACTGGTAGACCAAAATAATACCCATTTTAAGGGTTAAGACATTAAAGCTGTATATATTTCTGATATTTGTAAGAGTAATTATTGCCGCGTGAAGGTACCAATTATAGCACGAAAATTTTAGGGATATTTTTGCTGTCACATTAGTGGACAGCTACCAGTTTCCATCTGATATGTCATTGGATACTCTTCCAAGAGACTTTTCTAACTTTGTTTTCACGTATTTTTTTCTGAATTATTAAAGTATTGGCTATTTTAAACTGATTTAAAAAATTAACAATAAAATACATTTTCATCAATTTTAAACTAATTTTGTGGACTGAAAAATGATAATGTTAAATTATCAAAATAAACCTTCCAGATAATCTTTGTAAAAATCGAACTTATTGTTATCGTACCCCACTAACTAATCTAATTTGTTATATTGATAAAATCAATAATTAATTTGAGATTATGACATTACGTAATTTTTGATGCTATGAGTACATACGAATACTATTTTTTATTTACCTCCTTTATTTCTTATTTACTATATATATATATATATATATATATATATATATATATATATATATATATATATATATATATATATATATATATATATATATATATATATATATATATATATATATATATATATATATATATATATTATCGATAAGAGAATAAGAAATGACTATAAATATCATTGAACGAACATTAACAATGCCTTGTAGTTGCAACACAATGATAGAAATGTTGAAATACTTTTTTTTTATATATTTATATTATGCATAGAAGATATTCAGACTAATGCAAACAGTCATGCTCCTGAATACAGATATTTGTATTGGGGACTGAAGTCTTGTACAAAAACGTAACACAGCGATTTATTTTTTCAGTACGATCATTTTTATACTATTGCTTAAAAATTTTAATATGGATTTCGACCTATTTATCGGTTTGGTATGGTCAGTAGTATCAAGCTATCAATATATTGATTAATCGGACAAACCTTGCTATCGTATCATTATTATCGTGGCCAACGTTATTTGTATTGATTTTATTGTTATTTACCTTTTAATATTTAGATTTTTGGTTATTTTCGTACCAAATTTAATTCCAAGCAGACATTAACTGATACCTTATGTACTTACTTTTGTTTTGTTATTAACAATATCAACAAAGATACGATAGTGTAGTCCAAAGTACCAATAACATTTGCATAAAATATGTATTTAATATTTTACAATATTCATTTGAGAATTATATTTTGTTAATATTTGTACAAAAGTCGATTGCTTGGGTACCTCTGTCCCATTTATATTTCTACCGTGAAGCAGTTGTGTTTGCATGGTTGTGTTTCAGTTTGAAGGGTGGGATATGGCATAAATTTACAGGCTACAGAGGAATAACATCTGAGTCCTCAGGAATGGCAACGCATGGGGGGTATCATGGGCGAAACAGTATACTCTGTTATGTCCATGATCCATACTGCTCATGTCTATAGGCGACGGTTACCACTTTCCATCAGGTAGGCCGTGAGCTTGTTTGCCATTCTAAGTTGTAAAAAAAAATATATTATTTATTTTATTAGTATACCAAATTAATCCGTATCATACAAGTAACCGGTATTAACTGGTATTAATAGTTTTTTTTCTCTTTATTATCATTCTAGAGTTATTTTTATCATATTAGCCGTTAATTGTCCATTGCTGAACATAGGTCTCTCCCATAAAGTGGGGGTTTGCTAATAGCTGCCACGCTTGGCAACCGCTGTTAGGCTTTGGTGATGTTTTAAAAGGGACGCTGCGACTTATCCCTCAATCATTAAGTTTCTTTAATCGCCTCTTACGACACTATGGAAAAGGAAGGGGTGTCCCATTCTGTGCCGGGACCACACGGCAGTATACTAAAATATATATATGTACATTTTAATCTACTGTGGTCCATTGCGTATGAGATTTGAAGAAGTTAAGAGATTTCGAAAAAGAAGTATCGATATAGATTAGACGAGTTGTTAAAGTGGATGAAGCAAGGGATAAATGTGAGGAGGTTTGGTAACCCCGCCTGCGCTAACGGGATACGCTGGCGAAGCACCAGTGAAGGGTGATAGATGAGAATGAAAACAGGCCAGTTAGCCTATCATGATGAATTCATCAGGAATTAACCATTATAGTTTCCAGGGTGAACCACGAGGAGGTCGACCTGGTTGGGTATATTGGCATAATAAGCATTAGGGGTAAAGATAGTTAAATTGATAATATTGAAAATTCCCAAAATTAGATATGAGATAGTAAGATTTCGATTTTTAGCAATGTTAATTTTATGTTGAATTGTTATTCTTATATTTTTATAGTGACGAATTGCAAGCAAAATGACAATTAGACCGCTATCTGCAAGTCTCCAAAAGAAGGCCAATGAAGAACTCAATGAAAACTCTAAAAGGGTAGAATCCGACATAACAGCACTTAGAAGTTGGTTGACGAAACAACCGCATTTGCACTTGGTGCAGCCCTGTAAGTTATACTATACTTATATGTAATATTTAATTTAGAAAATGTGTATTCACTTAAGATTCCATCTATCTATCCTATTTAAGAGCTGCGCTCTTGTTAGTGGTGCTTTTGCCACTCACTACGATTTTCAGGGAGTCTCTTCACCTCTTGATACAACACGACCAGCTCCTTCCTTGATCTGCCTGATGTAACTATGCCTTGGTCTCTATTATATTATAATGTTCGTTGGTACTATTATAATGTTCGTAAAATCGTCGTGTCGTATCAAGTCTCCCAATATATTATAAGATACTAGTAAGTTTAAGATTATTTGTCTCAATTTTTTTTTACAACTATGAAGTTGAAGCGTCGATGTTTCTTGAATTTTCCATTTTTAAATTGGTCATGCATTTACATTTAAATTTCATTAATAAACTATTTCCAATAGTAAATTTAAGACTCATTGAATTTATTCTAAAGAAAGGATATATTTCATTTTGAGAGTCACTCTACTTTTCAAGGGTGTGGAGGTATAACACCTTAGTATGGAATGGCAAAGCATGATATAATACATCACTTTATAAAATAATATCACTTATCAATGGGCGGAAGATTAGTTTTTATGCTATTTTAACTTTTATAAAAAACAGCAAAAATGCAATTGTGTCTTTTGTGTCAAACTCAAGTTCGCATTTATAATGTTAGGAAGAATAATTATTTCAATATCATGCTTACTAATATTATAAATTTAAAAGTGAGTTTGTTTGTTTACTAAACGGCGTAACCAATCACTATAAAATTTGATATACGCCTAATATACGAGATACAGAAAAATATGTATAGTCTACCTTTTATTCCGGTCAGTAAACATTTTTAAGTCATGCAGATGAAGTGGCGGGTAAAATCTAGTATTCTATATATTATATTATATAGATGGTATGCCTGTATCCATTGTCAGACTGGAGCAGTACATAAGTTTATGTTTATATATATACCTATTACGTGAGTAACAAGGATGTTAATTTTATAAGGTAATTAAATACGGAATATTGTTCGATTTTATTGAGTTATAAAAATTCGATCGTTGCCATTTATCTAATATTATTAGATAGCTCATCATCATTTCCATTGGTAACCATCCACTGCAGAATATAAGTGTTCCCCATAAAGGGGAGTTTTGCCATGAAGTTGCTGATGCTTAGTAGGTGGTTTGGCAACCGCAGTTAGGCTTTTACGAGATGTCTTAAGAGGGACGCTGCTGCCAATTCCTTTACGATTAAGTTGAAGGAAGGGATGGCGTATTCTATGCTGGGACCATACGGTTAATTTATTATTCGATTACAATATTTTGAATATAATTAAATAGATCATAATAATTAGCATAATCTCTTTTAAAATGCTCTTAAATACGAGTATAGGAATTAGTTAAGAACGCTATATAAATGACATATTATATGTAATTATTGACTCCCGCAGTTTTAAAGTTTCAAGACAAAGTTAATTTTAATTTAACGAGTTCGGAAATCAAAATTACATATATTCATATCATTGTGGTTATAATTTTAAGCTAATACGGATTTTAGTGATGGATGTTAATACGAACTGATAAGATAAAGTTTACGTGTTATATGTCTTTAGTTTTTATTGTTAATTTTATAATTAATAATGTTCGGCAATTGGAAAGGTATATATGTGTAAGTATAGGGGGAAATGGAATAATTAGAAATAAGGTCTAACTACCTCATTAGTGATATGTCCTTTTTATTTAATGATAGTGAAATGGTCACCCTGTCTGCGTTATCGGTATATGTTGGCTGGTCACCAGTGAGGTATGATAGGTGAAGATAAAAAGACAGGCCCATCGTGATGAATACACCTGGAAATTCAGCACAATGGTTTCCAGAGGAGACCGCGGGGAGGTCGACCTGATATATACTACCTGAGGGTATATTACTAGTAATGGTGTTGATAGTCCCCATTACTAATACCATTACCAAACCTAATATACCCTATTAAGTCGCCGTCCTTGCGGTTCCCTCAGGAAACCATCGTAGTGAATTCTTGTTGAATTCGACGAGATGGGCCAATTGACCTGCTCTCATCCTCATCCAGCATGTCTCACTGATGTCCCGCCATTCTTTATTGATCGCACAGCGAGGTTAAAATTCTATGTTCGCTAATAAAAAAAATATAGGTATAGTTATCTTTGAGTTCATATATATTCATGTATTTTATGCATTAGTGTTGATACCTACACCTCGGAAAGAATGAATAATATGTTTATGCATGTTTATAGTCTTATTAAGTATTAACTTTACTCGTGGCTTTTCTCGCGTTAATATTAATTTTCTTCAATAACTCCAACAGTATAGGTAGGGATAAAATTGTTACAAAAAAATCCACCCTCTTTGAGGAATAGTCTGAAATAAAAAAATATGTATAAATATACTTTAATTATAAATCATCGTCATCATATCAGCCTTTAACTGTCCACTGATGAACATAAGTCTTCCTCTTGAGAGGTTTTGCCAGTAGTTACCACGTTTGGCAAACGGATTGGCAGTCAGGCTTAAGAGATGTTTCAGAGGGACGCTGCTGCCCATCCCTCGCCTTTCCTTAGTCGTCTCTTATGACACCCACGGGAAAGGAAAAAGTGGCCTTTTCTATGCCGTGACCACACGGGCGTACGGTCGGGTTAATTATAAATAATAAACAATAATTCTGCAAAGTTTAAAGCAAATCGGAACGCGCAATAAAATGTTTCATACATAAATTCCCATTCTCTATAAGTTTTTCACAAGAAAACGTGGTCTATAACCATCTCCAGGTTCATATTTATCTTTATACCAAAATTCATCTTAATCGATTCAGCGATTTAAGTATAAAAGCGTAACAAGCAAACAAACTCACTTTCACATTTATAATATTAGAATAATGCGATAGTTACTAAATTAACACTGACTATATTTACACATATGTATTATGTAGAAATAATCTTTTTGATTTTCTTACTAGTCAATCTATATAATGATTGAATCCAGGTATATATAATATAAATTGTTCAATCAGCCTTTACTGGAGTAATTTAGAATAAAATAAACATGAACAGTGACATCTGTCATGGCTATCCAAAAACAAATCAAATAAATTTGTGTTCAAGTTTGAAAGGAAAATTTTAATGTTCATGCTTCCATTTCACTAAGTAGTATTGGCAAAGTATCACAGATGTCGCTGTTCGTATATTTTTATTCTTATATATAATACTTAGGAAAATATACTTACTTTTACCTGTGACTTGATATGCATTATTTTAAAGTAGTATTACTAGTGAATTACACCATTTCTAAATGGCATAGATTTTAAGTTTGACCTTCACGAAAGTAACTGGTTTGATAGAACAAACGAGTACAGACAGATAGATAAACAAAAAATATAAAAAATATTGTTTTGATTTATGTTGTTTCTTCAAATACTTTTTTTCTGAAATAATTTCTATACGCAGATGTCGTCAATACATGATTTTATAAATTTAGTAATATAATAAATGGAAATAGTATTAAAAATTGTGTTTGTATGTTTGTTACTCTATCATGCTTAAACCTTTGAACGTATTTGAATGAAATTTAATACACGAGTTGGCTATATTCTAACATAACAGATTTAATATACTTACTTATTTCATTATGTATTATTACTTTATATACTTACTGATTCACGTGGCGTCGGAAGAAATAACTGTGCATGTAGTAATTATTATTATTTTTTATTCTTATAGCGGATCAATGGCTTATCGCATTTCTTCGTGGAAGCAAATTCAGCATTGAAAGGAGTAAAGAAAAATTAGATATGTTTTATACGTTGAAGACACTTGTTCCTGAATTTTTCTCAAACAGAGACCCACTTGATACTAGAATCCAAGAAATACTTAAGCTGGGGTAAATATTCTTATTGAAAACTTTTTCAGTAAATATTGATTATAGCTATATTATATTTTATTGCTATTAAAATAACTGTCTTTTAATAGCAGTTTAATACAAAAAACTAGATTACATATTTAGTTTTTTTGTCAGCTATTTGGCAAACAAGCATACAACATTATCTGCCATTATTAAAGCTTATTTCAAAAAGATATCATATGAAGAAAAATAAATGGTATGCCATCATCATCACATCCGCTGTTAACAGTCCACAGCAGAATTACATTTAAAAAAGTTAATGTTAATGAACTAAACTATATAAATGTTATAATTTAACTGAAATATTTACTTTGTATCTATAACATATCTATCAGTGAAACTGAACTTATCTATTGCTCTACGTTACTCTTATTATATATAATTGTAGAGGTAATAACAATTTAATATAACTATAGACTATAATACAGATAGAAGTCAATTTTATTTTTGTTCTTACTAATAAAAACAATTATAGCAGATGTATATTACATCTGCTATATTTGTTTTTATTACTAAGAACAAAAATAAAATTGACTTTGTAACAAGTTATTAAATTTTCTCTGTTTATGAGACTGAAACGAGAGTAAACCCTAACCTCAATTACAAAGTTAATTCATATATATATATATATATAGTTTCCATTACGATTGGTAACCATTCTTAATTTCTTTATTGTAGTGTTTTCTTGCCACTAAGAAATTGTGAAGCCGAAGATTCGTTTCGTACCAGTATAATTAGGATCGGTGTGTTCAACCCGTCCCAATATCACCTTACGGACTTGATAAAAGTTTCATTTATGGTCACTGAGATTTTAATGCTAGAAGATGACAACTTCACTGTAGCTGGTGAGGTATGAATATATAATAATTACATTTTTGCATTCTTGAATATAGGGATTATCTCTTCTGGGAATAAGATACGAACTGGGGGGCATACGTAAATGTGAACAAAATAAGACTAGCCGACTGTTAAATTAAATTTTTATTTTTCTTTATTTTCTTATATACTTTTGTAAATCCACTTAATATGCATATTGGGCTATAACGAAAATATACACAGACGGACTTATCCCTTGAAGGGATTAAATTAATATATGCCGTCTATTATTCGATTATTGCCTGTGAACTGAAGGTGTGATATGTTTTATCTGAGATTTGATATTAAAGAAAGATAGTAAGTACGTTGCTATCTTTTTATGTAATTAAGAATGACAAACAAGCTGATAGCCCACTTAATGGAAAGTTATTAACAGTTAACAGTCGCTTATAAACACGAATTGCACCAACTGTAGCTGTGATGCCCATTTCTGAATTTTAAGATATGCCTCTATACGTACCTATTAATTATACTATTTTTCTATTACATCCTTTGTATCGAAAAACAGTTATGCAAAGGTAGCTTCCGTATGTACGCATTAACATGAGTGCATAAAGGTATCCATGACAGAAAATTTTAGCGCTACGTCTTCTTTGGTAAAATATACTTTATTTAACTTGTGTTTATATTTATATTGAGTATATATTTTTTTCAGCAAGTCATTATTGATATGAAGGATGTAGGCGTAGGTATTTTGAGTCAATGGACACCAGCGCTGGCTAAAAAAGCAATAGCCTGCTTTGAAAAGGCGCTTCCAGTGCGTGTAAGGGGTAATCATATTTTAAATACGCCGTCAGGATTTGAGACGGCTTTTACTATCTTGAAAGCATTCTTAGGAGAAAAACTTAAGAAAAGGGTAAGTTTCACTATAACATTAAATATCCAGGTAAACGTGACACTGATGTACTTTTCTTGTTCACTTTTATTCTTATAATTTTACGTTATAATTGACTATATAATATTGGTGTGTATAAAAGTATATGCGATATGATTTTGAACTTTTCTGAGAAGTTTGTGCCGAGGAAGTTCCATCGAAAAATTTTAATAATAGTAATTTACCTCGTTATTTTTCATAAAATTATGAAAATATTATAGCATTAATTACTGATATTATTATTAATTAATTATAGTTTAATTGACATAAATTTATGTTATTAAATCTTTATAGAGAAAAATCCCGAGTCACGATTTTCATACCCGGTAATCTCAAAAGTCACTCAGCATTACAACAATTACAAACAAAATGAAATTTCTTTTATAATTGTTGTTTACTCAAACTTGAGGGATAGGATATTTTTTTATCTCAATGAGGAAAAATTTCCCCTAGCATCATCTGCCGGTACCAACGGGAAAAATAGTGCAGATTTGTAAGGTCAGCTAGGTTTTTATAAAACATAGATAAGTTAAATTCCCAATTGGACTTATTTTACAGATTCAAGTTCACAATCAAAATTATGAAGCTATGTACAAATCTATATCCCAAACAGTGCTTCCGAAAGAATATGGCGGTGATGACGGCTCCGTGCAAGAACTCACAGGTAAATATGGAAGTGTCAATATGTGACGCATGATTTGACAAAATGATACGGTAGGTTTAAAAAATAAATATGTAACGGTTATACAATCAGTAAAGTTTTATAATGTACACGAATACAATGTTTAGATTGTTATGTACTTACCGACTTCTCACAATTGTATCAATAATCACAAGTACGCAGGTAGATCTAGGCGTAAAACTAAGAGAATTGATTCCTATCATGGTCTTATAATTTTCCAGTAACTATAGCATCTATTGGCGACAATTACCACTTTTCATAAGACTATATATTACATAAGTTATTTTATTTGTAATTAATTCTAAAAAGGTGTAAAATATATTAAATATAAAACGGTAACAAATATTATCTCTGACACAAATCTTAAAAGTAGAAATGCATGGAGCCTGCAATTGGTGGAACAGCATACGTCTTTAGATCGTTATCATTACTTTTTATTAGATTAAGCTTGTATGGCAATTTAAATCTTAATTCATGGGACATATCCCATGTTTTGATGTTCGAAGTTAATCTCTAAAATCACTCTAGGGATTTTAATGAAATTTTGTAAATGTATATTGTTTTTTTTTAATGGGTGAGAGTGGTGGGACAGATGAGACAGTGAGAGATGTCAGATGAGGATGAAAACAGGTCAGTTAGTCCATCGTGACGAATTCCATAATACTTGACAATATTCTGATTAATTATTGTGGAATTCGTCACTGTGGTTTACAGGGAGAACCGAAAGGAGGTCGACCTGACAGGATATATTGTTAGTAATGGGGTAGTTGGACTCTATATTAATAACCCCTTTCCCCCCAATGATATATATTGCTCGAATTTAAGAAATAGTCCAGTTTTTATTTCGATAACAAAAAGAAGTAGGTGGTAAGACAACGTTTGCCGGGTCAATGAGTAGTATTATAAAAAGAATGAACCGTAAATTTAAAATTGGAAATTCAAATAATTACATATACTTATTTGTGATGACTATTGTTGACTGTATTTGAACTATAATTTGACCTTTGATGCCACTGGTGGAAAGTGGTAACCGTCGTCTATTGACATGAGCAGTATCATGGACATAACAGAGTATACTGTTTCGCCCATGATACCCCCATACGTTGCCTTTTCTGAGGACTCAGGTGTTATTACTATGTACCCTGTAAATTCATTGACATATCCCACCCTTCAAATTGAAACATAGCTGTGCAAACACAACTGTTTCACGGTAGAAATACGAATGGGACAGAGGTACTCAGGCAAAAGCCTTTTGTACATAGTCTCCCTCTGGTAAAAAGTATGGGGATGAACTATCTGTCGATGGCGAGCTGTACAATGCTAGAAAGTAGTCATGGAAGACAAATTGTTAATTATGATTATATTGAATAATTCCTTTGAGCACAGTCCGTTGTCTACAGATAGAAAAGATTCACCTTGATGTGTGTGTGCGTTAGATGAAATATTTTTTTGTTTATCTATCTATCAAATTATTATAAAGTAAATTTTGATTTTTACAGATCACTGGAAAGCTAAAGTAGAAAGTTACCGTGATTGGTTTTTAAGAGAAGAAAAGGTGGTCTCAGATGAATCTAAGAGGCCAGGCAAACCAAAAACATCCTCAGAACTGTTCGGCGTTGAGGGCTCGTTTCGAAAATTGGAAGTTGATTAATAATTTCGTTTTTTTTTTAGTAAATTTTTTATGTTTGTGGTGTCCTATAAATACAATCATCAAAATACATTAATACAGGAACAAGTATCAAATATATTTACAAATAAAGAACCATTAATTTTTTTTAAATTTGTTAACTAACTCTTCAAAATTGTATGGAAACTAGTTGATTACCTGTTTAAGTTCATAAATAAATTCACAATACATGTGTAATAAAGATAGGGAGCGGGGTTATGTGTACCTACAACATATAGAGAGATGAAGAGAGTTGAAAAGTTCCATGTAAAAAAAAACTGTTCAAATTCTATTATCACTACATCGACAATGCACTTTACGAAACATATATTATAGTTAGTTATATATATTACGATAAGTTATATAAGTTATATATATTATTAACATATATTATTATTAGTTTTAGTACAGTAAAGGTAAAACTGTAAATAGTGTTGTTTGATCATTAATCGAACAGTTAATAGTGCCAGAAACAAAATTTTGTTTAAAATTTTTATATAACTTTAAAAACCAAATTGTTTAATAAATCATAAATTCATCAAATTGTTTTATTTATTACTACAAACCCTGCAATGAAAATAAATGAAAATTTGGTTAAGTTAGGTTCTGACAAAAAGTATTTCGGGTTCTTTATCTATTCAGCTTCGGAGTTCGAAAAAAATATATTTATGTATGGTTATTTGGATAGAATTATTTTGTTTCTTTTCGTGACCTTTAGTATTTGTGTTACTTCCAACATTCGAAGATTGACTACCATTATTATTACCAAAAGTTCCACAACTTTCCATATTAGCCATCAATCACCGAATACCATTGTGTTTATTTTGTAGTGGTCAGTTTTCTAGTATTGGCAGCTACACACATGCTAATGGTAGTGAAATTAAACAAAATTATTCGAATAACCAGTGATATGCAAGATAACAGTTCAGTTATTTATGTATTTTTGAATAAGTCTATTAGACTTCTCGAACGCAAATGAATAAGAAACTTCCCACTTCCTTATTTCTTTAGATAGACCGAATGAATTTAGAGATCTATAATGACGTGATGCTTTCCTATATATTTGATTGATTATTTTTGTTTGAAGTTGCATGTATTCGTATAAAGTGAATTATATAATAAAAACAAAATTATGATACTTTAGTATTCTAATTTTAAATTTAGAAAACAATTACTCTGTATTTCAAATTATATTCTATGTGTAATCATTGATTAATAAATATAGGTACATTCATATTTTGAGTTTAATTTTATCTTAATATTGGGGTAGTTTTCGAATAACAAATTTAATAGAATATGTAATTCATAATTAATTTTAATTATTACTATTATTATGTAAATAATTAATCGTCGAATAGTCCAAGTTTTAAAGTTTTTGTGAGTAGCAAAATTCAGCAGTCCTGGGCGAATATAGAGATAAGTATGGAAGTTGGTTAGAAGATTAAACTAAAGTAAAAGTCATGTCCTGTCTAAGCTAAGTCATGACAAACATGATCTGAAACAGTTTTATTTCTTGGATTTTTTAAATAATACATTATTTTATCAGTTTTTGACAATTTTAACAACACTATAATCAATAATTATGTATATAAATTAGGACAATAATAAATTTAGACCATTGTTTTTAGGCAATTATAACGTTAATATTTTTGAATAATCTAGTTTAAATATAAATCACATCTAAATCAGAACATAACTAATGAATTTTAAGTTTAATAAATCATAACGGTACTTTCTAATTTTAAATGAAATTGAATATTCTATACTTAGTAAACCTACACAGAGACCGACTGAACCGCCTTTTGCTCGTTGTCTAATACTTGCTTCCCGCTTACGGCGTGGCGGATGTTGTAGTGGGGAGAAATTAGTCAATTTCTCGACTGTTTTTTTAAATGACGATAACAAGATTTTAATCATTAATCAGTTTTTGTTGTTCTTTTTGTTTAAATAGAACAGGCGTATTTGTAGTAGCAAATATGATTATCATCATAATATTGTAAGTTTGTTGACAGGCGATGTCCAATCTTTTATCAGGTACGTATCACTTGCAGCATAATTTAAGTTTTATTATACAAAATAAAATTTAAATATTGATCTACAAAAATCTCAACGATTGTAAAAAAATCAGGATCGGTTTATAATTATGGAAGATATCACATGTATATGTATACCATACACACTAAAAGTGAATACAATTTAAATCAGAACCTTCTCTTATTTTAAATTAATTAACATAGATAGGTATATACACAATAAATGCACCGAAAAACGAAGATATTTTTCTTAGACATTCTAAAACTTGTTTAATTGATATTTCATATACTGCGTGTTTACCAAAAATATTTACATACAGATTTTACTTCACAACAAGCAATATATTGTTCAGCAAAGAAGAACGTCACAAACGTAAAATGGGATCAATACGGGAGCAAGTAAACTCTGTCGGCTGTAAAAATAATTGAAAAGTCAATTCAGTATTGGCAAAGTAATCGCGTAATATAGTTGAAAAAAAAAAAAAAAATAACAATATCCTTCTTTTGAAAAAGTTTAAAAATTAATTCTCATCATCATATTAGCTGTTAACTATTCATTGCTGAATATAAGTTTCCCCTTATTGGGGGGATATGCCAGTAGTTGTCACAATGGCAACGCATGGGGGTATCATGGGCGAAACAGTATACTCTGTTATGTCCATGGTGCTGTTCATGTCTATAGGCGACGGTTACCACTTTCCATCAGGTGGACCGTCAGCTAGTTTGCCATTCTAAGTTGTATAAAAAAAAAATTGTCAGGCGGTTGCCAGTCGCAGTTACATTTTGGTGATGTTTAAAGAGAGACGCTGATGCCTATCTTGTAATTACTATATAAGAACAAGATCCTTTATTATAATATAGTTGTATTTTTGCATATGTAGCATTCTAAGTTGTATAAAAAAAATTTATTTAAAATCGAAAGCGAAAGCGAAGTCAAATGGTCTGCCATGAAAAAAATACTAATTTTCGGATTAAATTTTGTATTTTTGTTTAAACCAAAATTGGTCCAGCAAATAGAGCTTAACATTTCGATTCTACCACAAAAGTACAAAGAAACGATATGATATGAAAGAAACGATTTTGAGTATTTTTAAACGGTATGTATTTAAACGTTAGATATATAGAAAACATTTCACGGTAGACCCCTGTTTGTTAAAATTTAACAAACAGAAATACATACTTAGTTTATTTAAATATTTAGAGTATTTAAATAATTCGCCATAGACTAGGTATACTTATTATCTGCGTCCACTTTCACATTGTATCATCTATTTCATCATCTTTTTATACGATACTGAATAAAAAAAATAGGAAAAACAAAATAAATCCAAATAGTGACAATTTTGATAATAATATGAACAAACATTGCGCAGCGCAATCGCATTTAGTAACTCTCATTCTTCTTTGTTTTTTCATGAAAAGCTATGTCTTGAATTTAAACGTTCTATTAATGCAATCTCTTGCCTCGTTCAAGAGGCAGGTAAAATTACACTTCTCTAATTTGACATTAACGTTTACATGTAAATTTATTTTGTCTATTTAGTATATTTTTTTATCTATTATTATTTATATTATATATGTTGTTTATGTATTATTATTTTCAATTATATATGTATTTTATTTAGGTTATAATCTTATTTTTATATTTAGAATTTTTTTTTCATTTTGTCTGATTCCTTTTTTGTGCATTTACTGTGTCTGATTTGCGCCATCTACCTTTCTCTCTGTACTTATCCATTCTTTATGCCAGGTTGTCTGTAAGAGATTATTTTTAACAATTGCATATGCATTTCTGTATAAATACTCCTTGACAACGGAATAAAGAGTTTATTATTATTATTATTATTATAAATCCAAATAGTGACAATTTTGATAATAATATGAACAAACATCGCAACCAATCGCATATTGTAACCTCGGTTCTTTGTTTTAAAGTGAAGTATGATTTTGAATTTAAACGTAATACTTAATGCAATAAGATTGGTTTACACTTAATGTGACATTAACGACACGTAAATAAAAGTTTTGTCTTCTCAGTGTTTTTTTTTATCTTTATAGACTGTGAATTTTGTGTCTAGGTATTATCATCAAAATAGCAAATTTACATTTATAGCATTCGTAATTGTATGAATTTTTTCAAATGGAAATTAGTATTTTTATAACATAAGTATATGGTTTACGTATTGTGTGTCGATTAAATAAATAAGAAGTTTACTTACATTTGGAAGCTAAAAATTTACATGCACAGATATAAATAATTTTCAAATCCATTAAAATCCAATTGCTCGTACATTATATGTGTTATTAATTAACAAGAAGGTACATATTGCGTGAAAGTTAATTATTCACGTCACGTATCCGGCACGCAGCGTATGCACGGGCTCGAGGGTCGACGCGCGGGCGCTGTCAGCTGAGTTGTCAGTCGTGTTTAGTTACGAGACGGCGTACGCGTCGGTTGTGCGCATTCGTTGTTCGCTTGATATGTACTTAACTACTAGTGAAATCCCGCGAGTGTATTTATCGATACCTGGAGTATTAGCTTTTTGCAATGACACGTGAAGGACTCTACGGTCGTCCGGATGATGAGTTTCAATCATCATCCGGTAATGTTTCCGATGACGAAGATATTGTACTAAGGAAGAACAAAGTGAAAGATATGATAGTTCGTTTTGAAAAAACATCACTAACAAACAGTTGCCGTGGTTCTAGTGAATCCTTAGAAAAATCTAAAGACACATTGAGTTTAACGAGTGTTGTTAGTCCGATACAAGCTCATTTCCAACATTTGTATCCAGTCACAAAATCTCAAGATAGAAATTCAAACGTATCAGTGAATTCTTTGCTATCGAACATATCGGAAAATGGGTATGATTCGAGTTCTTCTGGTTTTGTCTCTGATAGAAAGTCCTGTAGAGCAAGTTTGCAACCTCACAGACCTGCTCCACCACCACCTGAACCTTTTAATGATAGTTCTTCATTAGAAAGTAAATCGCCTGCGCCGGAGGAAACTAGGTTTACAGAAAGGAGGTATTCCTTTACAACTCCTAACACATCGCCTCAAGCAAAACGACGCTCGCGACCACCACCTGTTATACGAAGAAAATCATCGGCAAACGGCCAAACACACTTTGGAGGAGAAACCCTTTGGACTTACGGTGTTAGTCAAACCGAATTGGAAAAGTTATTGAGACTTAAAAGATCAGTACCCTCTGACAACGAGGATGAAGCAAAAAGTGATAGTAACGATTCGGATGCAGGTAGTAGTAGTGACAGTGATAAGTCGAATAGGGGTGCAGAATACGTTGTCAATAAAGATGACGATGCAACGGACACTTTATCAACGGATCATTCGACTGATACGTTGATAAATGAAGACGATGGTGAAGAGCAGGACAATGTTTCAATTAATTCAGGTGATTCTAGTGAAAATAGTACAAGTAATATGGACAATGTTGACAATGTTAGTATTAAATCTATATCATCATTTGATATGGTTCCGTATCAAAAGTACGATAGCATAACAATATCATCAGACGAGTACGGTTCGGAGGTGTGTCATGCACCCTCTACAGAATTCCTTACAGTGAGTGCAGTGAATGAATGGTGCATATCGCAATCAGTAGAACCTGTAGTCATTCCAGTGGAATCTAAAAAACAAAAGTATCGAAGGTGAGCTTTGACTTGTTTTCATTTTTAGATAGCAAGCGAAATATTTTCACTATCGCTGTACGACTTTGTCATACAGTGATAACAGGTAATGAATATTATCGCGTTTCTTTTAAAAGAAGTATATGTAGATATGATTAGATTACACTTGTCCATGATATTATCTAACTAGTTGTACAAAGGTACATGTTTATTCAGAATTGTGACTATATTTGAATATTAATATATGTTGTTATATGTACAAAGTATTCAAAGCAGACCAAAATGTAATTCATAATTACCTGCATGCTGCGGTACTTGACTATCATATTTACGTAGGTATTAAATGGAGTTTCACCTTGATGTGTATTCATTTAGTTCCAGGCATAGGTATGCAGTTAATTAATATTAACCTAGCGTTTGAAGAACAGGTGTCTTGTCTTATTATAGGAAATCTACAAGTATTTATATAGATATAAAACTTTTGCTGTAATCTTGGAAACTACACATTTGGTAAATCTATGTTGAAGGTTTTCTTACTAGAAATATTATATATCTCTTTATTAATAGAATTGAATACCATAATTTAAGTTGTTATTTCTTTTTGCAATGCAAAGTTTATTTGTTTCGATAATTTTGATTTTGCTTTGATGACGAGTAACAACGATATTATCAACGTGGAGTGTAGGCTACAAGGTCGTTCAGTACTTATTATTCTGCTAAACAAACCACGCTAAATCAGTCTCGACCATGGTATAAATAATATCAGTAAATAACGTTTGAGTTGGTAACTCCGAATATGCTTTGCAATCTATATTTTACTTCCTTACGTACAATTATATATCTGATAGCAAATTTATTTGCATAATCTTTAACTAGATGCATTATTGATAAAAGTTTTTTATAATAAATATGAGTAATTGTAAAATTGCCATGTAGTCCTGGCATAGAATAGGCCACTCCTTCATTTCCCGCGGGTGTTGTAAGAATTGACTAAGGGAGGGCGTGGGATAGGCAGCAGCGTCCCTTTTAAAACATCTCTAAAGCTCAACTGTGGTTGCCAACCCGCCTTTCAAGTGTGGCAACTACTGATGGGAATCTCCCGAAGGGGAGGTTTATGTTTAGCAGTGGATCGTTAAAGGCTGATATGATAATGGTGATGAGGAATTGTAATTTTGTCTATTTTGATTTATATATTCAGTAATTATTGTCACTTCATTATCCCATAATTAATTTTGGTTTATTTTCCTGTAGTTTATTGTCAAGCTCTGGTTCAATATAATTAGGTACAAAGTCAGTATGTAATTATTCTTTGACTTCGAATATTTCAAATGTTCATCAATTACTCTAATCTTAGAATGTTATTTAAATGTTATCATGAGTAAACATTCGTCAATATATATTTTGTACCTTTCAGTACTTATTTTCCGTATTTTTCTCCATGAGGACTGATTGTTCTGCGTTCTTCGAATATCTTTCGTGTTTAAGGTTTTTGTGCAATAATTTTATATTTATTATTTTTGGTTATGCATTATTCGGTCAGTGAATTTCTTCTTTTATATTATTTTAATAATATAATAAAATTCTGGTTATATGATGTCTGTATATGAGAGATATTTAACGAAAATGGATATAGATCCGGTTTCCGGACATGTTCTTAAAGGATATTTTTTTATACAATTTAGAATGGCAAAATAGCTTATGGCCCACCTGATGGAAAGTGGTAACCGTCGCCTATAGACATGAGCAGTACCATGGACATAACAGAGTATACTGTTTCGCCATGCGTTACCATTTCTGAGGACTTAGGTTTTACTCTTCTGTACTCTGTAAATTCACTGTCATATCCTACCCTTCCAACTGAAACACAGGCATGCAAACACAACTGCTTCACGGTTAAAACACGAGTGGGACAGAGGTACAAACGACTTTTGTATAAAGTCTTCTGGTACGGTTATTTAAAATAAACTTACATTGAAGCACTTTTGAATAGTCATTACATTTTTTTTAATCTACCGCTCGTTCGGAAAGCTGTCTCATCACAAGAAGAACGACGAAATAATTTTATTATTACTTTACATTTTTAAGTTTAAGTGTGTGAATACAAACCACCAATTAGCACTAATTCAATTAAATACTCAAAAAGAAAAAATATTGAATACATAACCAACTAGTTAAACAATTAATTAATTAAAAATTGATATATAGGACATATGACAGGATATGTTCTTAACTTACAAACTGGTATACGTTTCATTTTGATACGCCATCTAGAAGTGATCTATTTAATTGGTTTTCCTTCGCACGTACTAATGGTATTGGAAATAAACAAAATAATTCTATTCAAGTAATCAGCAACTTCTGAAGTTCTCGCGTAATGTAGCTGCCAAAAAACTAGTATATAGATAAAATGGAAGTGACATTTGCAGATTCCTTTATTAGAATTTACTTTAACGTTAATATGGTCAATTTTTGAGTCTATTAATTTGTATATATTGAGCGTATGTTAATAATTTCAATAGTAGACATTTTGTAAATAATATTTTAAATTCATTAACACAGTGGTTATTCATTTCTACTACTAAACTACCTGTAGATGATTTTGATTTGCATTCTGTTATTATATAAAGGAATTGGTGTAATTCGATATAATACATTATTACTATTTTGTAGGTATCGAGGTACTATTTGATATATCAAACGATAATTTCGCAAATTTACTAATGTTAATCGATGTAATCAAGACTTGTCGTTGCTGTCATTTATTAATTTGACTGTGCGTCATTAATTTTGTCTGACAACCATATACAGAGTACAAAGTCAATAATACAGCTCGCCAGGTGTAGGAGGCAATGGTCAGTCATCATTATGAATATCAAGTAGTCACAATAATAATAAAACAATCAGGTTTTTTAACGTTACACTTTAATACGTTGACGTTATATATGTACTTATACTTATCTACAATAAATACTGTATTGATATGCTCTATTTATCTTGCTAAAGTGTATATTATATTCAGTTAATGTAATAGATATTCATTGTCGGCAATTTGTCCTAATCTCATATTTCGTTAAAATTGTATGTCATTTATGTACGACATGATAATTGACGGAATTTCGAGAAAAAATTAAATTAGCTTAAATTCGTGTAAATTATCACGAGATCATGGACGTTCACTTTATTTTGCTTATTTCACTTAATGTTAAATTATTATTTTTTTTACATCTTTTCACATCACATTGAAATAGGCACAACAATTTTTGATGGTGCATATTACTTATGGATTTTCGATTTTAGTAACTAAAGAATAAACCAAAAGTTCAAATTCGAATAAATTGCCAATATGAAGTAATGGTAATGACACAAACGATGATAAATACAAGTTATTACGGTCGTCTGTTTATTTTTACAAATTAAATGCGTTTTGCGATTTTAATTTTGATAGAACTTATAATTTTATTTTGTTTATCTGACGAAATCTTAACTGTCTTGATAATTTTAGTTAGTTTAAAATTGCTTAAAGTAATGAAAGATATTGAAATTTGTAAATTGTTTTTTGCATTATGTACTCGTTTTTCTCTTTACTTCTTTATTCCATTAGAGAAATCGGAGTGATAATAAAATTGTCAGCTTCATTTATTGATGAAATATGACGGCATGTGCTATGTATCTAGTTGGTATTAAATTTCATGGACCTGACTCGTCTATATAACTACTTTATATACAGAGTATATAGATAAGACCAAGTTTATATTTCTAAAAATTATAAATGAAAGCATTTATGTTTGAAATGCAATACAATACATTTTAAATATGGGTCAAAGTCTTTTTCAGGAATTAGTGCAACGGCACTCTTATTTTGGAATTTGGAATACATCCCACAGCATTATGTTTTTGGTATTCTTTATAATCATTGTGATATAACCATCACATACCTTTTACTACAGGCAGTGTTAGGTCTATCTGAATAGTTCCTGATAGACCTACTGCTTCCTATTCTATTATATATTATTATATATATTTTATATTCTAATATATTAATGTACTTTCTATCAGGTAACGTGGTTTGACATTTCGAGTTGTATATAAAAAAAATGTAATGTATTTTTTACTCAATCCAGGAATATACTTTTTACTTTTTCTTGAATGTGGATTAAATAGGAATCTCGAATATATACCTAATTACAATGGAATTAATTATATTTTCACTCAACATCGTTGCTTATGACCTCAAAATCTTGAAGATACATTTTCTCATTTGTCTTAATACACTAATGTGTAAATAAAGAATGATTGTACTATTTATAATTGATATCCAAACGAGTGTTACTCTAAACAATGATATTTAGGAACTGCTAAACATAGTAGTTCCTAACTGTGACGTCACAGTGAGTATTTTTAAAAGCGCGCAGGCGTTGATGCCAAGGTTGATTACGTTTACATTCCAACGTGGGAAAAGAAAAACAAAATTTTTTGACATATTAATTAGTGTAATATCAAATTAACTATTAAGAAATAGATATTTAATACTTAATTAGTATTGGCCACTGATTAAACAATATCGAACTCGACTAGAGACTAGTTTATCTGGTAATGGTAATCATAGTATATATACATTACAATGTTGTAACGTAAATATACGTTACGATAAAACTTCTCATTATTCTGTTCTTTGTACTTTGAACTGTATGTTAAAGAGAATCTTATATTGTTTAAACTTATTCTAAAATAAATAAGTACCTTGTAAAACAAAGAAAGCTGGAAAGGAAACGGATAATACAATATAAAAGTGGAAGAATGCAGATGATATTTGCATTCGTCATCGCAGAGGCTTTGACTGGCTTATGAGGAGGAGCAGTTAAGTATTCATAACCGGTATCTATGCAGGATACGGGGTTTTTTAAATAGATGATAATGAAATGGTAATCTGCCTGCGCCATCAGTATACCCTTAAGAATGACGATAGGCGAGTATGAAAGCAGGTTAGTTGACTAATAGTGACGAATTTGAGAATAATTAAT